ATTTCTACCTCCATGGTCGATCCCAGCAAATTCACTCTCAATTATTATCCTCACGGGCTGCAAATTTGATAATTGATCATGTGCCCCTAAGGACAAAGCAAGGACTGCAAACCACTTGCATATCACATCACGACACAACAGTGCAGTGTGTACATGTACATGAAACAGCTACGGTACAGAAAGCATACATTCATCCACACACATGCATTGGTTAAGTGTGTTCTATATAGTCTGGATACCAGACCCGATGATTCGGACTAGCCGACGAATTATTGTCAAGGGTTATCAAGGAATCTTTGGGCAGGGAACCAGACTACGTTCAACAAGGCGACCCCTAAAATGGACAGAGCGCATGCGTGTAGCACTAGAGGGGTTACTGATATTGATGTACTCATGCTGGCTGCGCTTGCACAGGACTTGTCACTTAACACTTCTTGGCAACCGAGGCGAAGGAAACTGTTGCCGAAGCACGGTTTTTTAATGCTGACTTACACAGAAGAATTTTTGTGGAAAAGAGACCGAGAAAAAGGTTCCCACTTATATGAAAGGACGACCTATAAATGCTGATTTAAAAAATGAAATTTTCAATGGAAATGCATTACAGACGATGGGGCCTTTTCTCAAACGGCTCATTTGGACAGGTTACGCGATGTCGACTTAGTCAGAGTTATCTGTAGTGGGAAAAATGAAACCAATGAGGAGTTGGAACCTTGCTGTATCATTTAACGGAGATGATCAGATTTTCACTCCCCTTGTTTGCCTGTAGATCATAGACATAAAGATCCTCGTCAACCATGTGACCCAGAAACGCCGTGGCTTCGCCTTCATTCAGTTTGAGGACGAGTCGACAGTAGATACAATTGCAGAGGTCAAATACCACGACCTGTCCAACGGCACGGAGAAATGTCGAGTGGAGGTCAAGCCCGTGTTGCCGCAGACAGACAAGTTCAGAGACGGCGGCTACCGTGATAGAGGCGGATTCCGAGGAAATGGCAGACGGGGCGGATGTGAGTAGGAAAAAAACTAAGCCGTTTATAGGTAGAATCGCCATTATGCAATCTGTGAACCAGTGAAGCATGTCCCGATGAAGTCTCGGCCCTGTGACTAGTGAGTTCATTGTCACTAGCTTTTTAACCACTTGCTGCTGAGTGGTTTGAAAAATGCAGTGTACATAATCGGGTTTTTTCAAGATTTTCAGTTTTCAAAATTCTTCAAAAATTCATTTCAATTTATGGACGTTTATACCCACACAAATTACTGTCTGGTGGCCTCTCTAATCTGATAGACAAAATCTATATTTCAGCCAGGCCTGCAGCCTTGTAAAAAGAGCCCAGATTGTGCAATGTTATGTAATTTTCCTTTGTTCATGACCTGGCACAGTGCGCTGCTGACCTCTTTTCAATAGGGGCCAGATTAGCGTGCAGCGGTGCTGTGTGACTAATCGCTGCGATGGTGGAGCGCTTTTGTTCCCTGTGGAAATCCGGTCACACTAAATCCCCCAAACCATGGTATCCTGTTTCAAAACAAGGCTGGATTATCTCCACTATTGAAAGTGAACAAATGTCGGTAATGCCCAGCAGCCTGGTCTTTTATTCCAAGTACGGTTTAGGCCCAGTTCCCTTTGTCCGATTTCGGAGACCCCGGCCACGCTTATAAACACAAGGTGCTCGAAACCGGGCGACCCGGCAGGAAGTGGTTACTGAACTCATTCTTTCAGGCTGGACTTATTGTGAAGTGTGAACCTGTAGAGTAGCCATTCCTCAATGGAATCTGAAACAATTCCAAGATATTATGAATCATCTAAGCCTTTCTACAATTTTGTTAACAAACATCAGTTTGTTACGTTAGCATAACTACGTATCGGGGTGGCATGGGCCCCATCACTGGAGGGCAGGTCCCCCCCAAAAAATTATTAACCCTAACCCCGTAGGGCCTATGTAAAATCATTTTGAAACTGGAGGATTTGGGACTGTTGGGGTTAAAAGAAAGAAACAACTGGTGGTAGTCTTCCTTGGTAAGAATATTTTATACTATTGCTGAACCTATAGACTGCCCTCTTCAGAAGATGAGGGTCTCCAACGGCCCCCTCCCAAAGGTACCCCAGTTATGCCAATGGAACATCATTCTACGAAGAATTTTGAATAAGATGCTATTGCTCTGATTGGTTGTTTAGACGGGGGAGGTGGTGGTTACGGTCCCCACCAGGGCTACCAAGGGGGCGGGCATTACAACCAGATGGGCAGCTACAACCAAGGTGGGCGGGGCGGCTATAACCAGGGAGGCTACCAAGATGGTAGCAGTTATTACCAAGGCGGGTACGACCAGTCTGGCTACAACCAACAGCAGTATGACCAACACTATCAGGTGAGTCTGGTATCCTTCCCTCAACACTCTCCAGTACTTGTCACCATGTACGCTTATCACTGTCGTGGGCACAATGGATCGGTGTTTATCGTCAAGCCACATTGGCAGGATTTTATCTTAAAATTCATCTTTGTTTCTTGCATTAAATGTTCCTGTTTATTGCAGCTTCAGGTTATGAAGCTTATATTTAAATTTCTCATTGTAAGCTTGTGAAAGTTGTCCAACAAGCCCTTAACAGCAAGGTACAGAGCGCTTTTGGCAATACATCTGTGCAGGGCACAACCAAGTGTTACAGAATTCCTCCTTTCTAAGAAAAAATCCATCCAAAGTTATGTTAAATGTAAGTGGATTTGTTCTTCACACATTTTTTTGCAATATCTTGTTCTCTCTTTTTTCCTTTCAGAACTACCAGGGATACGAGTACAGCTACAATCAGGGCTATGGGCAGGGCCAGGGTGGCCAATACGCCAATGGGTCTGGGTACCAGGGCGGGTACCAGACCGGATATGACACCAGCAATTATGGGGGTGGACAACAGCAGTATAACTATGGCTCAAACTATGGACAAGGTTGGATTGATCAAATACGTTATATATTGTGAACAGGCAGGACATAACTAGACTAAAATTGTGGACTCTAATTAGCCCTAACCCTCCTGAATCCTCCAAAATCCTTCGGGTGGTTTTGGAGGATTTTGGAGGATTGAGGGTGAATGGCAAAAGTGCATGGCTGATTTCGAAAGATGCCATCTGTGAAGGTCGTGGATAAGACCTTGTGTTGTTTTGGCATAGTGAAGCACAAATTCAGCCCAATATTTCTTTCGTATCAACTGCACAGCTCAAGAATGCCCTTCGCACTGCCTCAACATAATGACAGGAATTGCCAGAGGATTTTGAAGGATTCAGGCAGTAGGCACACCTCCAAATAACATTGTCAAGAAAATTTGGAGGATTGAGGATGGTTCCTAGTTAAAAGGCCTAGGGGGTTAGGGTTCATGAGCAGGAGAGACCCAAAACTATTTCCAATCTAACACCATACGGTATTTCATCAATGTATGACTCTATGAGAAGAACTGTCTTGTACCCAAAGTCTGTTTCTGTACTTCCTTCTATAGTCGTCTCACCAGACTACCCAATAAGCTACTTAAACACAAACTAAGACCTGCATCAGTTGAGTCTCAGGCATCAAATCATCACCATTTTCACGAAGGGGCAAATTTCCAACCGGAAAATAAAACCTGGGTTTTGAGAAAATCGCTTTTGAAGTTGGTCGCTTTTTCAAATGCTCATTTCTTCAGCATTTAGTATGCCTTTGACTTCACCAGTGCTACTTCATGAAAGAGGGGATCTTAAAAAGACACATGAACTACCAAATAATATTGATCAGAGTCAAGTTAACATGTTAATTTTGTAAACAAACAATTTGCCTCTTCTTGAAAATGCTAAAATTCATGTGACTTGTTTGTTCACGAAAACAGATGCTATGCGCTATAGGGCATGCCGAGTGCAAAATTGTTACATTTGTATACATATCCGGTGTTAAATTCACCCCTTCGTGGAAATGGCAAACAAGTTTGCCCATGTTTTTGCCCTTTATTGGTAACATTTTATCTGTGGAAGATAAATTCGCCTCTTTGTGAAAATGCAATGTGGTATCAATGAAATATGCTCAGGTAAATCATTTTGATTTGGCTGATTTTAGCAAATTTGGTAAAATGATTACACCAAGTTGTAGGCATTGCATAGCGTAGTTAATTTTGCCAAAAAACAGAAATTTGGAAAAAAAATCACAATTTGGGGCCGAAGTGTCTCTTCGTAAAAACAGTGATGAAATTTCCAGTCACTTGGCTTCAGTTGCAAAAGTTTGATAGAAAGTCTCCTTTGAAAAGAAGTTAAGACCTCTAACTTGGCTAGTGAAACACCGAGGACCTTGTTTTTGCCTCGGGGAAGTACCGAAGTTTTTCATCGCCGAAAGAGTATACATGTAGGAAGTTGCAAGATAGACTAATATGCACCGTGTCTCCACCAGAGGTCCCCATCGTGGCTATGACTACATGTACTTTTTTGTGTGTCTTTGCTTTGTGCGTTCAGAAGCGTCGGGCTACGGTAAGGCCCCAACGGGTGGCTACCAGCACAGTGCCAACCAACCATACTGACGCAGTTGGGGTACCAGACATAACAAAGGTTTGATATGTCTCTCTTTTTTTGCCAGTTCGGACACTTGTTGATTGACACATTTTGTGAAGATGCCTGTACTCGTTGTATGGTCCACTATGAAGTAAATAATAATGATACGCTGTGTCAGTGTGAAAGTCTGGAGTACCTGAAAGAGACCTTTAACCCTAACCCTCCTGAATCCTTCACCTGTTGGAGGATTGAGGAGGGTTAGGGTTAAATGCGGAGAAACAACATTTTTACATATTTTGGAGGTTTGGGGTTTTATTGTTGGTGAAAGAGCTTTCTTTGAATCCTCCTATGCTCATTTGGAGAAAAAAGTTGTCTTTCAGTCAAAATGAGTTTTTAACAGTTTGGAATCGCCTGCCTACATAAAGCGGAATTCACCAGCTGTGACCACAGAAATGCTGCACTTCGCCAGCTTTTGTTCGTTGACTGAATATGATTGGTCACAGTACCAACCAGAGAAATTATGGCCTGTGTATAAAATGGGGAGTAAATATAATTGTTGACTTTCTGGCACTGTTACAGTTCAAGCTAGGTTAATTCTTGGATTTCTTATTGCTGATTTCTTTCAGATACATATTTTTGATCTGTTCAAAGAAGATTCTTGGTCCCTGAAATTCAATGATGGTGATAGTTGCTACAGTGATTATGGTGATAAAAAAACACGGAACCCCGTCACAGAACCTGACCATGTCCCCTTTAAAACACTTGGGCAGTTAGCCTGTCTCCACTGAGTTGACCCCTCAAGACCCAGAGGAAGAGAATTTCCTTTGGATCTTGTCGATTTTGACCAGTGAGGGCATCATATACATGTACTTTGGGTTGATTTTAGCTTCTGTTGCATTCAGTAGGTTACAGCACTTTGTTTTCGTTGGATTCAGCAGACTTCACTCGTGTTGAATTTGGGTTGGTTGCAAACTCTGCTCCCGAATTCAGGGGACTTTCATTTTGCTGTCTGTGAATTTCATGGGATTCAACAGACCTCTAGCCTTTCTTTTGTAGTTCAGTGCCCGTTGAAGTCAGCGGGCTTTGCAGCTTTTTCAGCTCTAGGATTCTGTTTGATACAGCTATGTTCCTGGGGGGATGAAGTTAGTAAGAGATATGGTTCTTTATTTTGGAATACTTGGCATAAGACTGAGAAAATTGTCATGCAGGGCTTTCACCGGTGGGCATGTATAATAGTACAGTACCAAGCCATATGTAAATGCATGCGTTGGTATTGGAAAAGATGAGTTAACAAAATTTGGGGAAACTTCAGGATGAAAATAGTTTGAACGGAAGAAGAGATTCGTTGACTTGCCCTAATTTAGAAAAAAAAAAGAGTCTTGCACTGGATGATTAGGCTGGCCACGTGGAATCCAGCGCTTGGTCTGTGAAATTGTGGTTACTCTAAATGTTTCAAAACCCTAGAAATGAACAGGGACAAAGGATGTTAAATATCAAGTTTGAAAATGCTAACCCGTACCTATTTGCTGGATTTCAGATCTGAAATTTGGTGATAGTTTGTGACAACCAATAGGTCGAGAGAAAAGTGTTGAATAAATATGAATAGCACGTTGAAGTTTACTCACACTAGAGGGGAAATACACTCAACATTACATAAATGTACAGCAACAGTGTTATTCTTAAACCTTGGAGTGGATTTCAAAAACGGCCTTGAGGGAGTGAGGCAGCCTCCATTCCGTGCGTTACAACTTTCAGGATTGAAATACTCAGCGGTCAGCGTAACTTTGCTTTTCTATCCGATACATAAGTTGTCCCGAGACAAGCGAAGGTACAATATGTTGCAGCGACCTTTGACTTGAATGGACTGTTTGGGAAAGCGCACGAATCTTTGCGAATGAGAAGTGTATTTAGATGTCGTCAATTTGTGTTTTAGATATTTTAGTGTGTCCCACAAAAGGTAAAAACCCTTGCGGTTGGCTGTTAGAGTCACCGTTTGGCGAAACACAACCAAAAAGACAAACAAAAGAGACCATAATTAGTTGACCTTCAGTGACGTGTGTAAAAGTTTCCATTTAATTTGGTTTTGATTGCCTGAACTATTTTTAAAAGCTGAAAACGAGTTCTGATGTATGTATTGTGTAGCCGCTAGGATGTTAGGGATTGACTCGAGACTATGGCAACGTGTTGGTCATCGGAACAAGAACTGTTGTCCGGAACAACTTGAAAGGCCGATGCTTCTCCCGATCCTATTGAAGCTAGACGGACTTTATAACTTCGCACCAACAGCTTTGGGAAAAAAATCCACTTGCCCCACTCTCTTTCGAACCGAGTGGGATGTGATTGGTCAAGCGAAGTGACGTATAATACTCTGCATGGAGGGGGCGGGTCCTTGCAGACTCAACTTGTTCACCCATTTTGCCCATAATATGTTGCAGATGTATTGTAGGTTTTTTTTTGGGGGGGGGTTGTGTGTGTGTGTGTTTTGGGGGTTTCTTTTTGGCGTCCAAGCCTTAAAATGTGGTTTCTTTGTTCTTGCTTCAGTCATCAAGACGAACTATCTTTCACCAAAAGAGTGATTCGTGACCAACCCTTTCGCTAACCTACACGTACAACGTGATTAAACGCAAAGGACTGACTGCCTAGGAGGAAACGTGTCCTTTTACTAGTATGAACTATGTGATCTCCATTGTAGATGTTTTAAGTGATGTTAGTGTTCTTTGATGTCTCCTTTGTTGATTTTTTAAAACGATTATAAATGGTTCAAGGGTTAATAAAATGAGCATTCCTTATGCAGTTAAAGTTGCCAAAGGTTTTTTAATCTAACTTATTTATGTGAGCTTGTAAAGGTGTTCTTATGCCATGTATAAAAATGGTTTAATACGCACATGCGTTTCGAAGCAACTTTTCTTAAGACAATCTTATTTAAAGTGCACTGCCACTGAAAAGTCACATGAACAGCTGCAATTTTTGAACAAGAAGTCTTCTTTTAAAGAAAAGTTAGTTTTTTCTTTTAAGAGGAGTCTTATTTAAAATTAAAACTTTGGCCAATTAAAGTGCCTTATTTTAAAACTACCAGGTGATTTTAGTACATGTAAATGCGAAACCTGGTGCTTTTTTGTCGATAATTGGCGACGTTTATATTGTATACTTGTGGAAACTTTCATGGAATATCTCCCTTTTTTTACAAGAAAAGTTGGAAAAAGATCTGATTGGCTGTTGCATTGTTGTGACTTGTTAATCTGTAGGCCCATGTTGGTTGTTTTGAGGGAAGTTACTGCGCAGTATGGAAGTTTGAAAGCAGCGCGGCGTTTGCTGTTTTGGCGCAATCTATTGAATATCTGTTTACGACCTTGCTCTTGCTTATTTATTTCGGGAACGTGCTGAGAAAGCACCGACCCACCACGCCCTATGCGGTCCGGTAAGTCCAGCACAGCCCTGCAGGTAACCCGTAAACGGAATTGGCTGTGGTTGGTACCTGTGGAAGTGTATTTAAGACATGGTAAGAGAAAAGTTTAATTCGTACGTTCGGATCAGTGCTGTAGTCAAGACCATCAGAAGACCAGTCACAAGTAACAGGTTGTACAATGACAAAGGAATGCTTTGGTTGCATGTATAAGCTTATACATGTAGTTACATTTTCTGCCTTTTGTTTTGGTTTGTGACGACCGAATGGTACCACCCAGCATGAGGTTTGTAACCAGAATCCTATACGTGTATATACATACATGTACCAGGACACTAATCTCATTTGTTCATTAATTTTGATCAATAGCAAGACTCCTCACTCAGAATACGAGAGTGTCACTCCAAACTCGGACTTCGTAGAAGACAAAAAAGTGCATTGTCACCATTGAAAATCGTTTATTTCTATTTGGCATTTGAAATAAGCCCTTCAAAACCTCCCCTTAAGTTCTAAAATGAAAGTTGGAAGTATAGTGCGACAGCATCACACGTCGTCGTCTTGCATGCGGCAAGACACCCAGGATATAGAGATGGATATACAATTATACCAACATCGAGATCGGCGAGGCGGGAGATTCAGATGTCTCCATGGCAACGGGATGCCATCAATAAACGTGTACGTTTAATTAGAGTCAGCTGGTGAAAGAAGCCCCGACGTTGCTATGGTAATAATGAAATCGTGACGGTGGCAGACATTCTTCGCAAACAATGGCCAACCAATGTTCATGATACGCGTATGTTCAGAGTATAGGCCTTCAATAATCCATGGGAACGTTGCTTAATTAAACTGAGACCTAGAAATGATAGCGCCGAGGCCACGGCAGAGATAGCATTCAGGGAAAATCATTAAAAAGAACCGAATAAGGTAGAAAAATTATGTATCTTTTCCCCCTGAAATTTCTGTGAACCCTGAATGAAATCGTAGCCAAGAGATTTTTTACAGTCCGTGAAAATATACTTCGCTCTGTGTTTTCGAACTTGTGTGTTTGCGTGATATTTGGCTGGCTGGTATTACTAGTTAATGTCTATCTCAGCCCAGCGAATTAACCGAATATGCGGTGGGTGTCGTATCCACGACTACCAACCAGCGCAGGAATACATTACCAGCAGAACCCAGCCAATTCAAACTACACTGTAAAACCGCTCAGGCTTTCCCATCGAGAATGTAATGCCGCCGGTTGCTCACAACACATGGGTTAACCATTAACTAGTATGCACTGGGGTATATTAATATGGGTGTACTTTGACCGCTGTGTTTGCTGAGACCGAACCCAGGCAGTGCTTAAAAATATGGATTACAACCATTTGTGTCATCAAATACGACATGTCAATTCATGCTAAGTGGAGATATCGGGGAGTCACACTGCGTGACGTGCAGCATGTGTGTATATCACGAGATTGCATGATGATACGACCAGGTCGACCTCGGAATCCGGTTCACTTGAAAACGCTGCGCCCGTGCGGTTTTTCCTGCTCAAACATCATTCACACTCGCGTTGTTGACAGCTGGAGTCACTTCCCTGGTTTCTAGTCTTCCATTGGAGTAAAGTAATTCAGACAAGGAATTCCCCCGTTGATACAACACAAGCCAGACCAAGGTAGGTCATGATTGCCCCGTCATTTGTATTTTAAACCCACCCAGTCCAAACCCAACAATGTTCCATAGGCCTATATGGAATTTTATAGGCACTTTTATGGTTTGGGTCTGTGTCGGTCACTCTATGCCACTTTCCTTTGTGTCAAGCTGGTGCCATACTTTGTATATACAGATTTGCATTTATAATTTTAACAGATACTTTGTTATGAATGAAGATTTATTCCTTTCACGGGTAGGTCGGCACCCTTTTCGCCCTACTGCATTTCAGTTTTATAGATTTTGAACATGAATCAATCACCAACGCCTTTTGATTCTCACCCGTTCTGGGTAAATGACGCTCGAGGCTGGTTCAAGTTCTCCAACAAAAGGCTGTAAATTGATTTCCAACTGAGGCAACCATGTATGCAAGGTGGACTTGGGTGGCTTGATGAGCCCCCATTGGGAAGAGATATCATTTAAGGGGTTGTTTTACTTTCTGACAAGCGAATACAATGAACATCTACATTTTAAACTACTAGCTCCGATGTAGCCGTACATCCTAGCCCATGTGGTGCATGCAAACGAGATCGGGGGGGGGGGGATTTCGATCCGAGCCCCACCCCAAATCCTGAGTGCACCGCTGAGTATGCTACAAAGCCAGTTCGTATTTTTCTTTGTAGCGGTATGGATTTCTGATATAAATGACAGTGACTGTCCAATTATTGTACCGTTGATGCATGTGAACCGTGGCTCACTCTGGCCGGCATCAATGTTCACAACGATTTTCAAAGTGATTAATTTTATAGGATCATTCTCAGCCTTGGACATTGGGTCAAGACGGTGATCTTTTAATCTCGTTTTAGTACCACACTCCTCCGTGTATAGACCTAAGTGAGTGAGTGTGTGTGTGTGTTCAACATGAAATAGGAGATGAGTCTGGCACAAACAAGTTTTATTCAGCAACTTCCCAGAAATACGACACCGCAAGGAAATGGTTGCGGAATCCGGATGGAGAACTGGGCGATGATAGTGAAGGTGTGCTTCACAATTCATTTGTGTACCGTTGTAGTGCAACACCACCCCGGGTTTCAACCTACATTAATTTTATGCATTGCCTGAAACCATACATAATGTTCTTATATGTAGTGTGAGAAAATTCTTCGATTAAATTCCTTTGTAAGATCACGCAGAGCGTTAAGTGCCTTGTGTTGTTGATGTAAATAAACTAAATAGTTTGGGAATTACAGGCGATATGGATTCATGATGAACTGGCAAATGTTTTGTTAAATTCAATAAAATATGTGCATGAAATTTGCTTACTCAACTGCATGTTTCGAGAAAACAATTTTCCCCTGATTTAAAAGCCTTAACTCTGCCACTTTTAATATGACGGTATCGTAATTGGCAGATTCCTCACGCGGATTTGAGTGAAAGGCGAAGATTTGGTAGATATAACAGCAAGTATCACGAGAAAGACAATTAGTTCGTTGACGTCATGAAATCCATTTTCGCTTTCACTTTAGTCGCCTGGCCCAGCTTGAGCGTGTTTGCCATGATAGTAACGTTCAAGTTGTATTTACTGGCTACAAAAATTGTCGCATGATGTTGAAGGCGGAAATCTTGTGAGATCATTGCGATTATTAATCGGCCGAGCTGGAGGGAATGGCTCGCGAGGTTGGCTACATTATGGAAGTGTTTCAGTTTTTGTCTTTTACTTTAAATTCTCTTTGTTTCTTGTCTTTGTTTTTCTTTTTTAATTATTTGTTTACTTTATTCTTTTGTTTTGAGTTGAGCAAATCGTAATAAAGGAAAGCATGTGGCTGTTCTCAATTTCAGCCGTGCAGATGCAGAAATATGTGACATCAATAAAGTCAAGAGATTTGTAGCCCTTTCAGCGAAGTGTGGCATAGGGGTCGTGTCTGCTGGGGATCGCACGCAGTCACAGATCGATAACATTTGGGTGACAAATTTGCGAGCCAAACTAAATGGAGAACATAAATCATGACTATGCTTTGCGCCTTGCCCATTTTGATATATGCCTATTTTGTTTGACGGAATAGCAACAGTTAATTCCATCCTTTAAGATGTGCTATAAATCCTAGAGCGCGTAAAGTGAGTGGACAATGGGTCTTTCGTGTACTGAATTTAGGGCCTGTATAACAGCTTCGGCATCATCATGTGGGGTCGTGCTCAGGATTGGCTAATGTAGTGGGTATGGAAAAGGCTTTTTGTATTTTGTCCATGATTCAAATCCCAGACGCTACGACTTGTCTTTGTATTCCAGCAGTTTCTTGTTGAAAACGATCGGTTTGATGCTGTTTAAGTACCGCCAAGATTTGTTGCCCTAGATTTTTTTTCGAAGGGGAAAAACATGTTGTCGGCTTGAGCCTAGCTTATTAGTATGACGCCCATATTACACAATACGATGATATATTAACTCCACGTACTTAATATCTGCATTTTTGCTGTGAAGGCTTCCTTTATTAAAGGCAAAGGGTTTTCTTTTCGGATATATGACACATCACGTATGACGTGTAAAATGCCGTGCACTGATAGTCCATTAGCGTGTGTAATAATTACAAATAAATGTCATTGTTATAAGAAAAGTTATTTAAGCTTGTTATCCTTCGAAAGTGCACTCCGAAAGGACAAGTTTAGCTACACGTTTTTATTGTGGGTTTGATTTAAAGGGACAGGTCCGTTGCGATCGTATATACGCACGAGCGGTTTGTAGGGAAGGATTAGTTAATTTTTGAATTGCATATTCACGCCATACACAAGCGACACAAGGAAAAGAGGAATAGATCTGATGATGTTTTATTCCATTTTGTTGATTGAACCAAAGTAAGAGCAAACACATCGGGTGCGTTGCACGTACAGTTCGTTCCATAACAGGGCGTACCTATTCCAAAGTCCACCATTTTCGTCACTAATTTCCGCGAACACCGAAGACAACCATATTGCATTTGTCAGTATCCGGGATTCTATTTGCACTCGAATATGCGCACAGAGTGTATGCTCAGAACTACATCTGATAAAATGTCAACATTATTGTCTAAAGGAAGACCTCAGATCTAAGAAGGTAATCTCACACGTCTTTTACAGTCCTATAGTTTCCAAGGAACAATTTGTGATAGTTCACAGCATGTCGTTGAGGTTATATTTGTACCACTCGCTGTGTCAGGTCACAGCCAAAGTGACGCTTAATTAACTCTTATCAACTTAACAAAATTCCATATCCATGCATGTTTCCAGTATTTTGAAATATTGGGAACTGTGCGACTTTTTGCCGTGTTGTCTATATTGGAATTAAAAAATAGTTTTGCTAAACTGTAGGTGAATAGAAATAAACATAACGTGCGAAGGTTGACTTATCGCCATTGGTGGATGCTTACATTATCGTTTGAGTCATTTCAGTACTGTTCGCAGTGGCTTAACTACTGGGGGGAGGGGGGCATGTGCCCCTAGCAGATGGGGCAGCTTATATTCTTGTGGTCCCCCCTTGAAAAAAGGTGCGCATCCCGGGTCAGATATTTAGCCCTATTTCCGCCATCGACTGTTCTGTGCTCATCATGCACATTCTTCTCAAGGAAACACAAGTAATACCTTTTTTATGATTTGAAGTCAACCTCTGTGGAATCACAATCCCCTTGAAATTGCATAATGACTTCGATCCCGCAAGCCCGATGCCACGTGACAGTCGAACTCAGGGTAAAGAAACTAGGACCAACACTTAATTTCTGCGCACTGAGCATGCTCACTTGGCTCAGATTGGGATAGTTCATCTGGTTTAAACATTGAACATGACCCAGTGTAAAATGCTGGGCCACATAATAGTCACAAATGCAGCACAACCTCTTTTATCGGCCTTTGAAAGCGGTCATAGGTCTATATTTAATTTACCAAACAGGTATATCCATCACCATGGGGCGTAAGACAGAACCCTTGCGCCAGGAGACAGCACAGCAGCCACCGCCCCCCTACACCGTCAACCAACAGATGAGATACCCCGAAATGAGAGATCAAGGTTACTATTTACAGAGTGTTCCCCAGCAACCCCAGCAGCCTTATGGCAGACCACAACAACCGCTGGTGGGCATAAGACTTCTTTACATTTAGAGTCCGTGTAGGAACAGTCTCCCAAATGAGATTTAATAAGATAGTGTCTGGTAATTAACTTTCATATGTGTCTAAAGAGCATGTAATGTTTGAGGAAACCAAACCTACCTATTTGAAAAGAACAAATTCCTTGTCATGTGGAAATTTAAAATCATTGTATTTTTTTTCCTTCATGAAATAGCCACAGGCACAGCAACAATCTGCGCAGAAACGCCCCCCACAGCAACAGCAGCAGCAACGACCCAGACAACAGCAACAAAAACAACAACGACAACAGCAACAACAACGACAACAGAAACAACCAAAGATGCGCCAACAGCAGCAGAAGGTCCAGCAACAACAGCAGCATCAGCAGCACAGAAGGCCGTCGCTCCGACGGTTTCGAAGGGCCCCACCCGGCGTGGAGGTCAGCCCCTGCATCAAGTACACCCTGTTCTTCCTCAACATGGTCTTCTGGCTACTGGGCGTGTTCCTGTTGGGGTTCGGAATTTGGGGCGTGGTCTCGAAGGCGTTGGCCAGTGTCGAGGCAATTGCAGAGGTGGGCTGGACTTTGAGTCACTTAACCTCTTGGGTGTCTATCAAAGATTTTTGTTTTGTTTTCAAAGTGCAGAATCGGAGGGAAAGCGATTGTGATCACCATCACCGCTTCTCCATAATTTGCAAATTTACAGAAATTGTTATCCCAGACCATTCAAAGGGTATTTTGGCGAGTTTTGCTCACCAAGTTTCTGAAAGCCTTACGTGCATTTTTAAAATGAATTTATGTACCCAAATGAACGTTGAGGGTGAGCATTCTTCATATGATAGGTGTGGTAAGGGCTGGGTGCTTGAACGAATAAAAATGATTGCGCCCAGCAATCGAACAAACGAACTTCAAGATCCCCATTGACCCCTTTACTGGAAGACAGTTTGTCATCTTCAATTTGTGGACGGGATCACCGTAACATTCCAGACTCACTCGTTCCACACTCAGGTGGCCGGCATCGGCTTCGACCCGATGTATGGCTTCATCATCGTCGGCGCCGTCATCTTCATCTTGGCTACCAGTGGCTGCATCGGAGCTCTCCGAGAGAACACCTGCATGCTCAAGTTCTTCGCCTACACCCTCATTCTCATCTTCCTAGCCGAGATCACCATCGGTGTGCTGGCTTACTTCTATCAGGACAAAGTGTTCGCCATTCTGGAGGGCTGGATCAACAGCTCCATCAGAGATTACTATGGTGAGTATACGGCGCGAAATAATTCACATGCTCTCTTTTCAATTTTCTGAATTTCGGTTCTGGTTCATTTCACATTAGGCCTAAACATGTGCCTGAGAGTAGCACCTTACTTCATAGTTGATATTTTTGTGTGCGTCATTCTACCTTTATATCACCTAAGCTTTGCTGCTTGTGGGAGGCTTCACACGATGCAATGGAGCTTCGTGAACCTACTGAATGGTATTCACACATTTTACTTAAATCGTGCATGTCAAACAGGTACCAAATTTGCTGGTCTGTGTGTATCGAAAGATACCATCTGGTGTCAAAAATTATGCCCATGTCAAAAAGGCCTCTCCCTTGTAATCTCTTGGGTTGAGGGCGCTTTACAGACCTATTTGGAATCGCTCCTATTCGTAATAATGGTACCCTTTGTACCAACTGTAAGGTCACGTCGTACCGTTAGGAAGAGCACTGAGCTATTATGTGTATGGTCTTTTCACAGACGACCCAGACACGCAATTTATACTCGACGGATTGCAAGAGAACCTTCAGTGTTGCGGTTCAGCCAACGGGCCTGCTGATTGGGAGAAAAACATGTAAGAGGTTCAATCATTATGATTAATGGGGGCGGTACCTCACCCTAAAAACCTGTGACCCTGAACAGGGTGAAATTTGCACTCTGTGAAGCCATGCTCTTTGGCTGTTTCGCACATACCTCATTGTACCATGGTTTAGTGCTACGTCGATTCGAATATTTCGCTATTCGAATACTTGACCTTCAATTCGATCGATCGATTCGATTCGATCGGTCTTACCGACCGGCAGACTGTTGCAATAATACACACAATTGTACATTATAATCACTAATCACCTCTCACGTCTAGGACTCCAGTCACGATTTAGCAAGATTTAGAGAGGAACAACACTTCTTGCCCTTAAATAAGTTTTAATGAACAAGTTACTTTTTGAATCATTGTAGGATTTCTGTCACTTTTCATTTGAATCTGCTTGAAGCAAGCCTCCATAATATTTCCTCATTTAAAACAAAAGAAAATTCTCCCTTCATTTTCATTAATTTGCACTCGAGTATTCAAAATTAGGGATGTAATATTCGAATATTCGATACTCGATCAAATATCCGGATATACCGTGGTTGGACAAATCTGGCACAGATGCTTTACATGAACAAGGGCTTCTGCGCGACTGGTATCCAAACCACCGTGTAACTTACTTTCAAGGAATATCATAATTTGGTTCCAGTTAAAAAAATCCGTAAGGGTCACTGCTAAAGACCTTTCAATGGTTTCCTGCAAAAAATCATGACTAGGTTCTACTGAATTTTGTGTGTGTCAAGTCGCACCACTCGAACAAAACTTGTATTGAAACACGGACGAACGCGCAGTCAGCAAAAAAAGACATGCATGAGATTGGTGTTGGAAAATTATTAACAGATCGGCTTCAGTCCCGTGTCACCTTTGCAGCTCTGTCCAAAAAGCAACTGCCGAAATTATTGTTGAAAACCTAGGTTGGTTTGAAAATAGTTATTGGACAATAAGCTCCTCGTATAAGAATAATTTGTTCAGGTAAGCTGTCATTTTGATTTCAAATCGAGCTCCGAGATTGTCGTTTCTCATGATATACAGCATTTACCGAGCTCGAACGTCGTAAGCTAAGCGCAAATTACCTTTCTACAGAGTTTGAGCATTTTGTTGCTTCATACGAATATAGTGCACAAATGGACTGCATCAAGGCCCTATTCTCACAACAATAATGGTATCAGAGCGTCATGTGCACTATTCCCACTCTCTGCATTTTGGACTTCATTACACACAATAGCATGTGAGTAAACGTTTCGCCCTCTTGCTCTCGTGTGAAGATCATGTGACGTTATCTTTGACGTCATCTTTGAAGCATCTTTCTCTTGTGATTTGACAAGTATTTAACAGCTATTTCAAAACGTTAATTCCTTTCCTGTTTCATGAGACAGAAGAGAACCGCTTGCTTCAAGTCTGCGTCGCGTAACCACATTATCCAATCTTTTTCGTAAAAAGTGTGACATGGTCAATTCGCTTCGCTCTTGCATGCCTTTGTAGATATTTCAACTGCAGCTCACCGGCTCGATCCAAGTGCAGCGTGCCTTACTCCTGTTGTCAGGCAGACCCGGTGGCCGACGTGGTCAACTATCAGTGTGGCTACGGGGCCCTGGAGCCCCGCGAACCGAGCCAGCCCCGGCCGGACGTCTACTTCACCGGCTGCGTGAACGCCATGAAGGACTGGTTCATTAGCAACGCTATCGTGCTGGGCGTGGCTGGTGGTGTACTCATCATTATGGAGTGTCTGGTCATTTGCCTAGCCAAGTCGCTGGTCAACGACATCGAGTGCGTCAAATCGTACTGGTAGTTCATCGACCACCAATTCTGTAGATGCTCTCCAACATTCACTTAAATATGAAGACTTCAAGTAGCACGCAAAGCATGGATGTGCAGGTTTATATTTTCACCGTAGTGGTAAGTAATGGACAAAGACACCATACGGTATTGACGTTAATTCCACATTTTTTTGCATAGCGTGGTCATCAGTTAACAGTGTCAGAAAAGGCACACACAGGCTTCCAGTTTGTTTCCATCGATTGTTGCCTATATTTCCTGTGATCAACCCAAAGACCTCGGAACGTCAACCTGGGATGCTAAGGGAAAATCAGCTCACAACGCGGTCTGTTTGTAGTCGAGTCCATCACGGATCAAATCAGAAGTCGCTAAACGAATTCCGGTCATAAATTACAAGGAGGAGAAAACAAACGGCCTGCTGCAAATGCACGAGGACTTCATATCTTGTGAATGACCTGTGTATAGGCTCGTAAGGATTGGCAAGGACTTGTGAGAACTGAATTATACAACACTACTCTCAACACTAACAACTGCTAATGAGGCACTGACACCCCAATTGGCGGGTCAGAATAGACGACATCAAAGAATGTGTTTGTTCATAATTAATAAACGTAGCTTGTTTCCCACAATTACAAATAAAAATTAACTAGAGCAAAATCCAGCACGCTTACTTTGAGATTATACATCAATTCTGTGCTGAGATTCTATTCATTGTGACCACTAATCTGTAAATTTCATTCATTGAGACAACATGTTCACGGTTGACAGTTGCCCGTGTTATGATTTATTACAAAAATCTTTATTGTCCAAGAGGAAATGGTATCAGCCTGTTGGAGTCGCTGTTCTCAAAAAGGTTTAGCACACGGAGAGATTGACTAATTAATTAGGTAGATATTGCACATTGAAATCAAGACCAATGATTCACTGAAATAATAAATCAACATGGTGCTCATTAATTGCTAGTAATTATTGACTGTGATACCATTCATTTGTTTGACAAATTGTAAATTATATTATAAATGAAACCATTTCATGGTATCATAAAGTAAACATTTTAGATCATAGAGGCCTCAATATTTTTGTACTTCTGCTGCAGGGCAGCCCATGCATTTTACTCATTCGTGCTATTTTCTTGTTTAGCAAAGAAAATGAAGATTCGATAACTTTCTGACTGTTATGAAGTAAAATCTTAAAAAAATAAACATGTTTTTAAACTTTTCCAAAGTGGCTTTTGGACTGATTTTTTTGTACGCAATCCAATTCCTTTACACTAAAATGGCAGATCGTTGAAGTTTGCGGTCTTCAGACTTTTTCCAGTATACAAAAACACGTGATTTCCCGAAAAAGCAAATCTCAATTCAGAGTGGGCGGGACATGTGGTATTGTCTTCTACAACTTTTACAAAATGGGGACAATATTACCGCCAAACATCAGTTTTGAATTGACACATTGTTTGACAATCGATTTCCATAATTGATAGCTGCATTCCACTGATATCCCTGTCTCAGGAAGGAATGACCGACTGGAAAGCGAGGCAATATTTCTAAAATCAGCCAAAAGTCATTGCTTTTGTATGTGTGATACTGACTTCACGGGCGGATCCAGCGGATGGGGGGGGGGTAACGGTGAGCATGACCCCCCCCCCAACAAGCTCCAAAGTTGTTTTAAAAATAAAAAAAAAGAAAGGCAATTGTTTTGATCTATTTCACCCGTTTCTTCTCAAAGCGTGTAAAAAGCCTGTAAAGCACCCTCACCCCACAGAAAGGCTAAAGCAGGTCCCTTGAAATAATTCACAAATGTGTGGCCCCAACAAGTTCCCCTTTCAAAGTTGGTTCTGGGTCCGCCCTTGAAAAGGGTTTGCTACCAAAGATGTGACAGACCATCCACAATTGTTAATTGTGAAAATGCAATTATGAACTACACGTGCACTTTCAATGTACCCGCGTTTCTTCTTATTTCCATTCACTGTTCATCCAATTTAGATACTGCACGGGCTTAATACCAGTGGTTTATAGACTGAGTGTATCTTGTGATGAAAACGAAAGTCTTTCTTTCATTTTTCTATTATAACAAAAGGTCATAGCTTGGCATTTATTATTTCATATACCACGAACTTACAAAAAAATGGGATATTATGATTTACGTCTGTGATAATTTTGCTATGTACAAGAGTTTATGAGCTAAAATAAATAAATGTAAATTGTGTACGTTGTGCTCTGGCGTCATAAGTCTATTGTATAATGATAAAAGTACAAAAAAGCATGTTGCATTTGCCAGGGTGCGCCTAAATACGGAGTGCTATAAGGTTATACTTTTCAAAGGGATGGCTGGGCTGATAGCTATGAGTGGGCGGATAATGGGCAGTTGATATCGTCTCGCTCCGTGTTACACATTCTTCGTGCGTAATTTTACATGGCAAGAATTATCACATTTTACCTAATTTTAACCGTTTGCAAATACCTTTGGGCGTGTCATGCATGTTCTTGTCAACTACGAGCTTAACAGTTTTTTCTCTGCCAATGATTATGAATTCACTTAGAAACTTCCCAGATTGAAGCTGCGTTTCATCCGTGCAGCCAGTTGGTTAATGCTTTCGACTTAAACCTCAGTGTCTGCGGTGTATTTACCCTGCGTGCCGAGATCGACTATTTCAACATCAGAATCGTCGTACTTTTGCATCTCCTTGCTCAAAGGCTCAATGATGGACTGCCCCGATTCAGGCGTCACGACCGGTGTGCGTGAACCTGTGTTGAATTTGGATACAGAAACAGACAGCAAAATTACAAATGTCAAAAACCCAGTGCCTCCACAGACACAAATAATGATGATCTGATTTCGAGTGAGGATCGGTTCGTTTGTGCCGTTTACTGGTATCGATGCCCCGACGGATGTCGATTCTGAGAGTGTGGTGCCAGTCTCACTATGTGTTGTGTTCGTCATGGATATGGACGAGTCTACTCCAGTCGTGACCGATGGGTTGGATGGCATGGTGCCAGTGCCGACCTGATCTGTACTCTCCGTGAACGCAGGCGAGGCAATACCCGTCGCGACCGAGGTGGTGGTTAGTCTGGGCACCACGGTTGTAGTGGGCCCCGGGGCGGCGGGGATATATCTGCGCAGCGCAACGAGCACGATGTTAGAGAGGGGAGACGTCCGATTGGCGTCGTCTCGGGCAACCACGGCAAAGGCGAACGGAGCTATGTCGGTGCTGACGGGCACGGTGACGGTGAATTCCTCGGGAGAGCCAGACACGTGGGGGTCGCTCAAGTCTCCTTGGAGTATGTCTGACTGTGGAATGATCTCAGTGCCAGAGCCTGTCAGGATGGACTCGGCATTTACTCCTCTCATCAATTCATAAGAGTCAGCTGCAGGTTTGGAAAGAGTAATGTACAAAGCGGAATGGAGATTATCTATGAAACCTGGGGACAGGTATGTACAAAAAGAAACTCTCGGTTCTGGTACATGAAAGATAAAGAACAATCCGACTTTAATGAAATCCATCATCAGTAGAGAAAGGGTATTGTAGTCTTATTCCATTCGCAGGTATTAAATGAACGGCTTTGAACGACCTGCCGAGGTGGAAGAAAATCGGCTCATTAGCACTTTGCCTCATGTGCGACCCATCGATAGATAAATCAGCAGCAATGCTTGGCTTATCCAAAACAGTATGTTACTCGTGTGTTTAACTTGTGCGCAGCGCCCTCATAGCTACGTTAACATACGTCTGTCTCTGTGTACAATAAGAGCCAGTGACTAGAACATGAAGTTTTGATTGAAGCAATGAGACTGAAAGATAGGAAGACGCGTGAACATTGTGCATGTAAGATTACAGTATCCACACAGGCATGCGTACCTCTTCCGCTATCGAAGTCATCTCCAGTCGCGGTCCACGCCAGTCGCACCGTTCTGTCGGTGTACGAGGAAGCGACTACCCGCAAATCCGTCACTTTACCGGGGGGAAACGGGTCTGTGTCTGGCGCCGGTGCCTTGACGACTCTGCACGAGCCCGTAGAAACCACGCGCTTGAAGATCGGCACTGAACTCTGAACGGAGCGTGCTTGCCTCCGAAGACCTAAAACAGACCAGAGTCTCGTCCAAAGAATTATATGTAAAAGCAAATGGATTTCCAAAGAACTCGTTTAGCAGGCTAAGTGCATATGAGTACGTAATCTCCAAAGAAGAAAATTTCATTTTTTTCAAGTCAGTTTATGGAATTCAGAGTTTTGGTCAAAAAAGAAAGCAAAATGCGCACTAAGTGAACTGAAATATGTCCAAGTACCTCCATCAGACGAGAACGGCAAATCAGTGACTATTGCATCGTGTCCGTTGTTCTCAACACGCACTTCGACTCCGTAGAACCCATCCCCGCTGTACTTCGTGAAATATGCGGAGTAGATTCCATCGTTCCTGGTGATATCAGCTCCTGCGGTGGAACCGTATTTCACAATATTTCCACAATATAACGGCGTTGCGTTTACTGAGCTAGAATGTTTTATGAAGCGTGGGAAATTCTTCCCAAAACTTCCCATGAGGCACAGAGTTTTGAGACCGGGAAACGATAGTGTTCATTTTTCAAATCGCATACGGTGTATCGACGAAACTATTATTCTTCATGTCAAATTGGAATGGCTATTGATTAAGTTTACCTATCCCAGTATCGAATAGTTGAATTTCTACCGGGTTCGCTGGGTTTGGAATCGACACCAAGGCAGTAACTGTAGCGTTGACCACATTGCCGTACCCCTGGCGCACTTCAGAATAGATTGTTAACGGGGCCTCCTCTTTTTCAAAGTCTTTTGAGAAGTCGCTGATTGATGACGTCACGGAGATGGGCGGTACGTCAGCGTCTCTCGGGGATGACGTCAGCGAAGCCTCAGCGGTGATTAGCAAGGATGGGTCTATGTTCTCGATATTTATACTCCACGGACCCTCCTATTGTAAATCGATTGTTTGAGTGCTTGGTAATGATCTGAATTTGCACTGTGTCTGTTTTTGTGATGACAAATCAAGATGCATCTTAATTTTTCACTTAATTAATTACTGTTTTTGAGCTTTCAAACAAGTAAAAGGAAGCCACCCCGGAATTATCAGTTACACCATATTTCGAAACAAGTAAATACAGAAACCCCTAAAATAATGCAGTGTTCGTTTCTAGTTGCAGGCGACCTTCCCGTGCTGTTAGCCACCGGCTGCTTCAAGTCCACAAGTGGTGGCGTCCTACACTAAAAACTGCCTAATCTGCACAAAGAATCGCAAACATTCATTGAACAAGTGCAATCTTACCGCAGCTATTCCAATCAAACTGTACACGGCTAATCTAAATGTAGCATTGACCGTGAACCCCAGATAGGAAGGCGTCAGGACATCTCCTGCCGGGCTGCTCAGTGTAATATTTGGTATGGCTGCAAAATGAAATTTTAAAAAAAGTTTAAATCAATATGCAAAGACACGAAAAGAATAAGAATAATCATCTCAACAAGTCTTATCGTAGTGCATTTTTCTGCTTCAGCGAGAAAACGAAATACACTTTTGGTTCCGGAAATTGTTGATTAAGCTTCTTAGCCCCGTTACCTCGTTCTGCCCAGGAAAAGGTGAACTTTGTGTTCTTGCCGATAGTTGCATCGATGTAAGTTAATGCGGTCCGGGACTCACCGACTGGAATGGTGAAAGACATGCTCCAAATCTAGCACATGAGAAAAGAGAAATCACGGCTCGCTTGTTAGAGTCCTTACCTGTCATCATGTATACTTACACAACGTTTTGCCCATTGTATAATGCTAGCAAGTAATCAACCGCATTCTTGGAAACTTCTGGGGGTTGCCAAGGAAATGAACCCTTATCCCCTTCATTCTCAAGTCAACAACATTTGTTTATTCTGGGTTCCATTACTCCTATCTGGTACAAGTCTTCGCCAATCCTCCGTATAAACATTTCCAGTATTTTTAATCCTCTTTAAGAAAGTTTACACAATATTTACAGTTTTCATTACGTGTCTGGATAGGAAAGAGTTGTTTTTTTTTTAAGACAATAAGGCAGTAAGTTGTCCAGAAAGAGAAAAGTGTTGCATGCACTACACGGTACTCACTTGGAGCTGCTTTTCAGAGTTATTGATGTCACTTCTATCGACAGATTTTGTTAGTGCGTCTGTCAATGTGGTTGCCGCCCCTGAGTCACTTAATGCAGAATAAAATTTCCCTCCTGGCGAAAAAGAAATACCACGTAGCTGAAAACGGTTTGGTCATCGAAAAGGAAGTGTAGAGATTGTGCTTTGTTGCCTATGTGAAAGAGACGAGAGTTCGCGTTTTGGTTCATGAACATGTCAGAATCGGTCAGAGTGGGATAGAAAATTTTCACTTGTGCATAAAAATCAGCGGCGTGAAGAGTTGAACCTAAGCGAAGGGGCATCGCCGCTGAATTGGCACTGAAAGTTCTGTCCGTCGTTTTCTGTCGTTGTGCTCTGTGAAATACCTGAAGGCGGAGTCACCTCGCCGAGTCGCGTACTGCGTCATAGCAACCGTGTTGACGGAATTGTAATTATTGCTGTTTTGTTATTGTTTTACTGTTGCTTGTTTGTTGTTGACGTAGTGATTGTCGTTGTCTTGTTTCTTGTGAGGTAATGACGGTTAAAGAAATTACCTGTCAGTTGAGACACCTCGCTGAGTTTGGGGTCGGCATTCTGTGTCATTGCGACCGTATCGACGATAACCCTTGCCTGGAGAATATTACCCATAACAAAGTCTATAGAGGGAAAAATTGTTCCTTGGTATCCATTCAAGAGAAGAATACGGTCACCCGCTCGGTTGCTGTCACCAGACTGTATTAACTGTGGAGATGTAAAAAAGGGTATTAAGCAGAAACGACGAAAGAGTTGAGGTTCTTGGATGCGCCCATTTAAGGAATCTCCGTCTTTTGAGCTGAGTCTTTTTCTCCGACTCGAATCAAGTCCCTCGCCTCCTTTATTGCCCACTGTACAAGAGAACAAAACCATTTTGACTAATGCTTAGAGTTGTGAGGTGCGTTCAATCCATTGTCCAGCGTTGGCAAGCTATGCACCTGTTCATTTTCCGCAAGTACACAAAAGCTTTACTCCTGGCTAAAGCTGTTAACTGGGTGCACAGCCTGTTTTTCCATTCACATGCACGGCGCATGCAGATCTAGTCACACACAGACTTTGCATCATCCATGGATCATGGTGCGTACACACTCTCCCTAATGCCTCACAAGTCCACTTGGATTCATATGTATAAGTTAGCTGCCAAAATATGCTATTCAAGTCGTCCAAATTATTTGCTATCAATATGACTGCACGGAGTTGAGGACGTTTTTACACCAACAAAGAGCAAGAATGGCGAACGGCTAATGTTGGGCCACTGTTCTGTGTCTCTTCAAACGAAGATCACGTTTACAACAGTGGAATTACATGCTTAATCACCGAAATCCCTTGGTCACCACAAGAAATTCTTTCGTATGGAAAATACATGCATTTGGGATATCATACGGAAATCATTGATAGGTAAGTTTCTAATATGTATTAATCTGTTCTGTAAAATTCTACATGTATATATTGTCATCGTTACTTTTAACTGTTCGTTCTTAAAAACAATCGACACTTCAGAATAGGGTCATGTCACAAGAGTGGTTTCATGCATGAAAAGCATGCACTTTCCAGATGCCCGATGTTTGATATGTATTTTTCCCGTTGTGCCACACACATTTTTAGGTGTGGCAAACATGTGGTTTTTCTCCTACGTGCTTTCTCCTAAAAAAATAGTAATTGATTTTCGCAGGTGTAACGGCAAATTAAAAGTCTTTACCTCAACTGCTTTGTGTAACGCGCCTCCTACAGACGCATATCCACTTGTCGATTTTGGTAGAGCATCTAGGAGGGTACGACGATCGTCATCGGTATAAATGCTAACCATGTCGCTGAGTGCGTGGGCATTGTCGTTATATTCCACCAGTCCCAACGACACACCAGCGGGGAGGGTCCAGATGAAAGCCGCTGTGGCGCTGATCATCCGCTGGAATGTCTCCCCCTGTGTGGGGAAAGTAGCAGAGAGGCTATCTGCTTGTGACGACCCACTCGCCTGTCATATGAGTGATCGGGTTTCATATCCATGCCTTCATGTTTCAGCCAGGGCTTTCTAAATCTCTCAAAATGATCCTGACCATTCCCTACATGTCCATGGCAAGCTGTCTGCAGAATATTAGGCTCACGTGCCGAGGGATTCTTACTTCCATTCCAGAAAATACAAACTTTAAGGCAGTGTGTTTGTCATCGACATGTTTCCGCCAAGAATTGGATTTGAGTGGAAACAATAGGCTTAATTAGAAAGTGTTCAATTGTTTTCTCTTTGAAACAGTTGTGTTAGAATAAAACCTCTGAAATGATCACAGAGTTCGATTTCAGCAAGTGCATGTACAGTCATTGAAGAATTAAAAGTTAATAAAAAGATAATTAAAATAATAAAAAATTACAAAGTTACTTTCCAAACGAAGAAATTTTTGCACGTATTGCAGATTTGTTATTAATTAAGCACGACCGTCTCCTGGACACATTTGGAATACGTTGTAAAAAGTGCACACTAAAGTTTGGCCAAGGAGTTTGGATAGAAAAACTCCATACACGATGGATCTAACCCGAACATCGAAAGCGTGAATGCACCTGCATATCCCTGGATGTTTCTAGGGCTACAACAAGCCTCGTGGGCCCACGCTGAACGATTTGAAAGGTAGGCTTGAGATCATCTTCCGAAAGCTCACGTGGCGGGTTGTTGCCATCTAAGATAAAGAAAGAAAGTGAAGTGAAAGAGAACATCTTCAAGGCACTTTGGAAGCAAAGTCGATACACTAGTCCAATCACTTCGTTTGTTGGAGTGACACACTGCAAGAACGTCGAGGTAGTTGTCTCAAATTGTATTTTGGTTTGGACAAGAGAATTTGTTTTTGATTATGACTAGTTATAAATGAAAACTTCTTTGTTTGATTGGGGCCGAACTTTGCAGCTGTGAAGCGAAAGCGCCTACTAATCACGCACTTCAAATGGATTCAGCATAACGCAGCACGTCTTATTTTTTTCCTGAGCAAGTTTCTACTGTTAGGGTTGTAGAAAACACCTGCCTTTGAGGTCATCATGTCCTCTCATCACCTCCCAGTTGCTCTGACGGTCGCAAAGGTAGTTTTGCCGGTTGGGAGCATCGCGGTTGTGAAGGCTCGTGAGCTTTCCCGTATCTGAGTCGCAGAAGTCCACGATCTTTTCAGATAGAGAGAGGAAATATTGTGTTCTAGTTGAGTCTGAATCGAGCCAAGAATCAGAAGCATAGGTGAACTTGATAAAAAGGAGGAAAAGTGATGTTATGATAATTGCAAACGTCATGAACTCCTGATTAGTAACGAGCGCTAGATCTAACAAAAACCCCGGATTTACCCCCAGACCACCCGCGGCATATGTAAAAAGTGCTCTTGTATACCCACAAGCACATTCCAGGCGTTTCAGTAGCTTAAATTTGCACTACACTGGTCCTCCATCGGCGTAAGAATTTGTTCTAAGTAGGGCTGCTTACGTTGTGAAATCTCCCCCTTCCGTACATGACTGATCCCGTGGCGTTTTGCTGTGCCTCCGAGGGGATGAAAAGGCAACTATCTTCGTACCCGTCAACGACGTTCCCATAGCACGGCCGGTAACTCACTCCATCTGACTCCACTACCATCGGCGTACCCGTTATGTTTAAAGAGCACCTGCAATAGACCTTACTCTTAAAATTTGCTCGACAGCTTGCAAAGACGTTGCTCTCCACAGACCAGCCAGCATAATTGACGCATGGGTAGATCTAGGACTTAATTTAGGGGGGGGAGGACTTGCTTTCTGTGGGGCAGAAATTTGCAATGTTCTAATGTGACCTGTCTCTCAGTGGATTGTAAACATTGTGGGTCGAGTCGGTCTCAACGGAATACTAACTCGGCGTTCCTGATATACGCAGGTGTGTTCATTTTCACAAACAACCTTGTTCAGCCCTAAAATAATAAGTCTATAAATTACTGTTCGAGGTCTGTATAGTCAAGAGTAATCTATTTAAGATTCGATCGTAAACTCGCAGAAAGGCTTTGTGAAAATCAGACATGTAATAAATTTAAAAGAAGGGGCACGGGCTTTTTTTTCAATCTCTGAAAAATTAATTTTTTTTGTCATTCAGAATGCTAACTTTTCTTTATTGCCCTGTCGTCCACTATGATGTGCATGTTTTTTACCCAGGAAGGCAAATCGTCTTACCTGATTCCTTCAAACTGCTGTGTCGAACTGGAATAATAAAACTGATTCTCCTCGTCATCGGAGACTTCATCGAACAGACCCCAGCGATATTGGCCCCATTCGTATACCAACACTTTTCCTGATTCCAAACGGAAAACGGTTTCGTTTCACTTGCCGGTTTCGAATTTCCAATGCAATCAGCTTCACCCTACAATCCGGCGGCCTATTGAGACACCTGTTGAACTTTTACTTATTAATTGCCTCCTTGTTGCGTATTTGACTGACAAACACAAGAAAAGCTAACTGCTGAATTAGCCCCCAACGTAAATTTTCTGCCCAAGAAGACATCACTACAGAACTTATGATTATGTAAATTATTAGCAGAAACCAAAACTTGCTACTTCGCCCTTACAATGACAATAAGAAGTTTGAAACAGGTGTTGTCGTAACCCAAAATGCATTTCAAGAACTGTATTTAGATAGGAAAATCAGCTGACCAAGAGATGCATAGGCAATTGTTGTATTATGATCTAGGAGGAAGGTGTCCCTGAAGATGATGCTCAGCCCTTCCTGGCCGCATCCTCTGTTGCGTCTGGTGTAAGGAAGCGGCGGGGGGTTGCCATCGGAGGGCCCCACAATGACATCAGGGTCCTCCGGCCTAGCATCGACGTGGGTCAGATAGTCTGGACTCGCCGGCCAGGTCTGGGGCACGAAAATGGTAACGTTGCGGAAGTAGAGACGGCGGTCGGTCGCCCTGTACATTTCGCCTGAAGCATCCCGAAACATCTCCTGATGGAAACCAAGGAGAAACGTGACAATGAGTGAAGTTTGCTGTGACAGACAAACCAACAGTCATCCTGGATTGCGTAGCAAACTGCCGGCTCAGCTACATACTATGAATCAGAGTTGGCAGTTTGCCACACACATTTGCATTAAAATTAAAGTAGCGCCGGTTCCCAACATCTTGATTAAACCAATAAATCAGAGCAAATATGGTGTCATACACTTCCTACTATTCCTACGGAAGCCAACGTTGGCAGATGTGTAACGTTTAGTTGATGACTGATTTCACTTTCAATAGCACATTGGCCAGTAAAGCTGTAAGAGGGGATCACTTTAATAGTGCCACCCTGGATGGCCGAGGAATTGAATTCCAAGTCAGGCAAGTCTACACTACCGTTAGCGACTCAAATTTCTGAGGGGTAGGGAAGCCGTGACTTGTCTCTGTTATCAAGTCAAAATTGGTCGTTGTTCATAAAGCAATATATTGCTGTACCCACAGTTATGCTTTGAAATGTCCTGGGTAAATATTCTTAATATTTCCAAACACCCAAAGGCTAAACATTAGACCCTGAATATAGTTCCACGATTCAATAGTTTGTAATGTATCAAAGTTATGAAGACACACTGTTTTTAAAGAATTTGGTCAAAACTCACCCTTATTTCATTCAACAGATGATCATTTGGACGAACTCCTGGATCGATGAACACAGCAACGTTGGTGTACCCGTTGTGCTGTATAGCAATGGCTGAACTACCGCCCAGTGACGACGCCTGGTGTGTGGTAGCACAGCACGCTAAAACGAGCAGGACGAAGGCCCGCCAAGTACCCTCAGCCCTCATCGCTTCCCGTGGCTGACGCATGTTGTGCCAGCTCTCACATTTTTCCCGAGCACCGCTTCCGTGCGTTTCCAGAGTGCAATTAGGACTTCTGAGTCCACCTCAACATTTCCACGGATGTAATGTTCTACAGCGACGTGTCAGGTTAGTCAGTGATTGGGTCCGGCGGTGTTGACGTAGAAACAGTTCTGATATGTTTTAGCAACTCAACTAGTACCCCGTTGACCTTTCAAAAGGAACGTGGCCTGTCATATTTTTTTATTTAGAATGCTAATCAGATCCATTTATAGGTTAAATGACATGCGCACGTTTTTAACTGAAGCTGTGAAGTTTAGCTTTTTTTAGACGATGAAATACACTGCACTGCATGCACACTGAGTTGTTGTTGGCTTAAATATCTGCTGGAGACCCTGTTTCCTCTGAAGAAAAATGTCCAAAAGAAAAAGTGTAAATCAACAACGCAGGTATCGAACGGGGTCGTAGTCCTGCGTTTCAAGAAATAATCATTTTAACAACCTATGATCGCAGAGATGTCAAGATATAGACAGTGGCGGCAGAGACAGTCTGTGGTTTCATTCAACCAGCAAATTGAAACGAAACTAAAAATGGGACTGAATACTTGGGTTTTCACAGCAGTAAAATTGACATTTTGCTTTTTATGTCTAAAATTCCATGGAAGTTTATTTGATTCACTCGGGACATTAAACTCTCAGATTAGTGACAGTCCCGCGTTCCATGTTATAATATCCGTCGAAGCTATGGCAACTATTTTTGGCGCTGAAAATCCATCATTATCCGTCCGGACATCCCGTTCATGAAATCGAACCATCAAGCGCGAGTTTTCTTTTGAGCGACAACGCATATCAAGATGAAAAATGCTCAGTCACGGACAGCCGAGTGATTCATTATCAACACGAATTAAAAACAACCCTTTCCCCCATGGAATTTACATCTTTAAAGGTGTTATAATCATAGTGTTTTGTGAATATTGAATTCCAAGCTAAAAACATGAAAAGGTTTGAGTCGCAGAATGTGCCCGGCAGTAGGGAGAAGATAAAAAGGGCACTTTCAAATAAGCTGATGTTCAAAACTATTATCAAATGGTTTGCTACCGATAGTCATTGGCCTAGCGTTGCCGGCCTTCGCATTCGAGAAAGACGGAGGAAACAATATCGTGGTGAAATTCAATTACAGTCTTCTTAGGCACGTCAACAAAACACGCAAACAATGTCCAAACTGATACGAGATACTCCTTCAAGGGAACGACGTAGCCTGCATGAGGTGTGCCTGGGTGTGTTTCGATTGGATTGTAATAATGAGGCATTTGTTGATTTTTTGTGTCACATTTGCACATCTAAATGTCGCAAGATTACGTTTAATTGGTTTCAACTTAAATTGCACTCTTTTTGAATGGCAGTTTTCGTTAATTAAAATGAATAAAGCTTCAAAAATAACCGACCAAAAACTTTTTTGAGTAGTTCATTTGATTCATTAACAGAGCGTGAAATTTTCCTGTCATGAATTTTTGTTCCAAGCCTAAATCCCTTGTCTGCCCCGAGGTTGGAGAGAAAAAAAGGAAGCGGCTTTATATCGAACCGCTATCTTGCTTGGCATAATAGGGTTTATAATTGTTGCGAGTGAAACTAGGAGCTGGATAAATATTTGGACAGAGACTTCATAAAGGCTACTTCAAAGAGGGGTCTATTAATCTTCACGATTCGTTGACAGCTTCACCTTTGACAAACTACAGTGTCGATCAGAATCGGTTACGCTGGAATCGTCGATTAGGGCGTGAATTTTTTTCAAGTTGAAAGTTTTAGAAGCTGTGTTTTGTACCGGAATATTTTGTAGTTGATTTCTCAACAATCAGTCACGAATCATTCCCACGTAGTTGTTCATGAAGTCAAGTCACGAAAAACCTACTCGTGGACAAGTTAAAGGAAATTTGGATTCATTTCTGAGTAAAACTTGCTCTCAATTTTTAACCATGTGATATTTCCTATTAGTCACTTTAAAAGTATGATAATTCACTATTACAAAATTTATTAGAATTGGGCGAACAATAAGCACACTTTTTTACAAGCCAGATAATTGACTCTTAGGAACTAAGAACTTAGTTGGGACATTTCGATTTGTGTAGTTTCAGTAATTTGAATTTCCCCACCTATGAAACCAGAAAATTCACAACAGACCGCACTGCGGTCAGCGAAGAGGAAATTTCTGGCTTGATATTCCCGTTAAAGTGACAGAAAACTAAACGAACCTGCGGGAGTTTCGGCTCCATCACAGGTAAAAAAAGTTAGATTGTGACACATAGACACTAGAAACTTAATACTGAAGGGAACATGACTAAAACAGCAAATTAGCTGCTCATTTCAAAATAACTGTACGCACACGTGGATGTGGTAAAGGATACATCTTCTTTTCACGTAAAGGAGAGCAGTAAAGCAGATTTTTTTATATAGGCCCATATTTCTTTATCCCGTCATGAAATTTTGAATCGCCATTACATTTTACTGAGATTGAGCTGAATACGAACTTCGGTTTCCAAAAGCTCCTTTTCTCTTGGCCATTTTGTCCTACTGTCTCTTTTTATCGATTCAACGAGTGGACAGATTATCAGTTTTGATCACGATTTCAAAGGCACTTCACAAACACCCGTGTCGAATCGGGATCGTGATGACTATGAGGCTTTGGGGATTATGTCTGGGTGCTAAAATAGTCTTTGGATAGGCGTAAATCGGCAGCAACTTTGCTCCCGGGCAAGACCTTGGGTGACTCGCTTCCACAGGCCGAAGCATATCCCAAGACATTTTGTCGCCAATTTGAGTTGGACAAGCCTCGAAAAATCACACCACTGTGTTCAGCTACATGATGTTTTTTGCGTCTGTGTGTAGCACAGGTGTAGGACAATTGACGCGTCTCATGAGAGGTCGACTGCTTGACCTCTGCACCCAGTGACGAGCCTCGCGCAAAAGATAACCTCGGGTTCTCTTCTGCAAACACACAGTGAGGCTGCGTTACAATGTTGTCATTTTTTCTGTTGAAATTGCAAAGATGATAAAGATAAATCGGTAAGTGGTTTGCCGCGTGATGGTGCTATTCTAGAAGGATACAAATCGATACATGTAGCAACCTTTAATTAAAAGCTCTCAGTTTTGCTTCCCATGGTTATACAAGACAGAGATTTTGGATGTATCCCTTGTTTGTAACAAGGGATACAAGGAACAAAGTTGTACCTCGAACTGGTAAACGAGACAGAGCAACCATGATAGCTGAAAGGACCTTTAAATGAGGGCGCTCTTGCCTCCTATTCGAATCTTTATTCGTAGATGTTAAACAGCACGCGTGCAGATGTAAAGTGTGCTCCCACGGCATCATTTCCTATTTTCGGGACTGTGAAACTATTGTGATGAAAAACTTTTGCTTAAAATGGACGACAAATGCTTCCAATTTGAAACTAACAAATCAAATTTAAGCTCATATGACCATCTTCTCATTCCTGTTCACTTTTTTGTTGGTTCTCCGATGACTTCGGAAGGATAGTTTCCTCCAAATGGGAGGTACCCTGTTAGTAATAATCTTGAAATGAAATTAGGAAGAATGAATTCACTGCATACAGCACGAGACTTGAGCGAAGAGAAACGATCCTGGTTGTTAATAAATCGATATGGCTGTTCGAAGCTGCGCAGCCTCTGCATGCTCTTCATGCGTTTGCTGGAAGCCCGACACCGCCAGAGAGCACCATTCGAGTGTCATTGTTCACATGAAGATGTCGGGCACCACGGATTGAAACATGGCATGACGGTGTTTTGTGAAGGAATTCCTCCCGATAGGTAAACCCCGCCGTTCACCTCACGATAAGGTCCCCTATTTGACACGCGCCCTTTCAAACCGAAGTTTGCTGAGCAAACAGACTTTGATACACGCGAAACTGAGTGAGGGTAGGAAAGCTTACCGTGGAAGTCGATTATGTGGTATAGTTCTCTTTTAAATTTCAATTTCAGACAAACATCAGGATGTCTACTTGTAACCAGAAGGCGAAAAATAAACTGATCGAACGCTTACCAGATTAACTTGATATTTTTTAGCAAAATGCATTTTATACTCCGTTCTACACAGTACCTTTTAAAAGAGCAAACTTATCAACCAAATCCGACCAAGTAAAACGAGCAATCCTTTTTCTGGCTTCAACTGAACGGCTCTGTACGGCAAATGTTTTGTCACAAACCTGTTAAAAAGTAGGTAGACCTAATTTGTTTGAGGGTTGCTAGGAATGGAAACCAAGTACAGTCAAGAAGCGTCATATACTACATAACCGCAATAACATTTTACTGCTCCAAGAGATCATCACTCAAAATTACTTCAAAGGAGAATGAGCAATATACTTCACTGTTTATTAGCAACTACTCAGTAGCGGTACTACAAATATAAATGCCATAATTTTAAAACCAAGCACATGTAATTAAGCCCTGAATTATTACGGACACTCCACAAGTGAAAATTTAACACCAACATTTCTAACTACCCAATAGAGAGATTGTCTCTTAGGGCGGTCGGTGTGAAGACCACTTCTTAGTTCTAATACCTTGTTCAACACATTGGAACACTTGTCTGCTACATAATGTTATAGATTAATGTGAGCACAGACACACCGTCACTGCAGAGGCACTGCACTCACACGCGCACATCTATCAGCTTGACGCGCGCGTGCACGACACCCTATTGGTCAAACAGGCATGTAACGCGCTTGTACCACCTGTGCCCCCGCAATGGCTTCTAAATCTGCTTGTTGGTTTACACGATAAATGAACCACCTCATCCTAGTGGACAATTGCGGACTTTTGCTTAAAATAAAGCAAAGAATAAAAACACTACAGATCTAATTATTATTGTATCTGACAAAAACGAATAATTCAGTAAGATATCATTGCTGTTTAAAAACCCTAATTGAACTATAGCACCACAGACACCGATCATGACTTTCACTGCGAGTCAGTAGTCATAAATGAAGTAATTTATACAGTTTTTAAATGCTAACCTCTTTTTCTTAAGGGAGGCATGGCTATGATCATACCCTTCCCTTGTCTATGTTGCCTGCGTTTTCAGAGGGTAGACTGCTCATTCATCTGTTCAGGTTAATTAAGACATTCATAATGCGCAACATATCCACCCAAAGATGCCGAAGGCCGAATCATCCCAAATACCCTTTCAGCGCCCTAGAGGTTTACAGCTCGAGGGCGCAAGTTCAGCGAAAAGCAGTTTAGTGATTTGATTTCTATTATGAATCATCGACGACCATCTTTGCCCTCTCGGGTACCCTATTACTCCGTCTTGGAGAGAAAGAGTGAAAGAAGTGTCTTGCCTCAAGGGCACGCTCACACGGTTCAACGCTTGTGACCATGGGAATTAACAACAGCACCACAGTGACGCTCATCGGGACAATCGGGGCGGTATGCTCGCCCGGCAAACCTCGACACTTCGCAGCAGCAGTCCAGTCACGGTGCACGGCCCTCAAAGAACCCCGGCCGGGTTCTCGAAATTATAGAATGCGCGGAGCACGAACCGTGAGTAATGCACGATACGAGTATCAATTGTCGTTGGGGTTGGTAAAGGTCACAAGAAGACACTCTCAATTATACTTGCATGATGACTTCTACTATAGGGAAAGTTATAAGTAGCATAGCATAAATTTATGAATAAAACATTTATCATAGTTGATGCTATTTGTAAACAGATTGCCAAGGTTTGCGGTCTGCTCGTCAGTTATCACTTGTGTTACTTCTCAACTTTGGGTTCTAACTCAAACATTATCATTTATAGCGCAACTAGGCCTCAGCACTTACTATCATTTTCAACTTCTGGTAGATAAAGCACTTGTCTATTGGCTTTGATGCTAATATAAAAACCAGCTATAAACCTACCCAAATTCAGTTGATCCAGTTGCGAAGATTGGTTGAGAGTTACGAAGCTTGAAGGTGTCACCTGTTAACAAATGTTTGGCGGCGTTGTCCTATTGTGTGATACGGAAATGTGTTTTATTGACTAGATAAGATATTGTTTTTGGATTCAACATATTTTCCTTCAGTGTCGCAGCTGCTTCAACAAAAGAGGTCGACGTCGAAGTAATTCCTGAAAAACAGAGCATTCTGTGTTAACTTACCGTAGATTTATCCGACCTAAGTATCGTTGCGAGATCTCGGCAGTCGAATTAACAGTATAGTAGTGGAGCTATAATTATGCGACCAGAGAGAATTGTATAATATTATGCCAATTTACTGCAAAATGTAAAACAACACAGCTACTTTAGCAGTTCAAAGAAAGAGTTACTTGATACAATACCGGTAGCCCGTCCCTTGCCCTGTCCGCAAAGTCTGCGCAAAATAAACTAAGCAGGCTTCCGATAATGCCAAACGTTGTAATGACAGAAAGGTTGCCTTAAAAATAATATAGCGCCTTATTTAAGTAAAATAGTACAAACAATTTTATAAAATAAAGAAATTTCTTATTTGAAAGAAAAGCAATTGCTTCATAAGATCAGTTGTGAGCGGGACCTCAACATAGCGCATTGCAAGCCACTGTAGCAGTAGTCCAGGGACATATTCATCTTTAAGTCATTTCCCGGGTTTCCTTGTTGGAAGACTGCTTCACTTTTTTATCGTTGGGCTTGAAGTGCTTGAAAGCAACTACCCCACCAGCAATCAGCAACAGCGCCACGGCGATGCTACCGACGACAATCAACGCGATCTGCCAGCCCAGCAAGCCGTCTGCCAGCGCCTCGGGGATCCGCTCCCTGAGCGCGGCCTGTACGACGTTGGAAAACCCGGATGGGTTTCCGGCGTCGTCGAAAGCGCGCAGCACGAACGCATACGAGGCCACGGTGGCGCCCTCCGGTACCGGCACGAGGACCACTAACTCCTCTTCGTTGCCGAACTCCTGAGGCGTAGAGAGGCTCCCCTGGAGGATGTGGCTGGAGTTGAGGATCAGATGGGCAGCCGGAGTCGAGTCGTTCTGCCAGGCTTGGATAGACCCAGCACGGATGACTTCATACCGGGAGGCTACAACAAAATTAATATTCTTAACTTTAACTTGTGTAATATATTCCAAACTTATTCTGGTCCTGGCTTCATTATATTCCAGTGACTGTCCCTTTGAGACAGCATTACAAAAAGCGCTGTAGACAGTGTTAAGTTTTAAGATAATAATTAAACCAACTCTTATGGAAAGTTTGAATTCAATTCCACTTAAAAAGTCGATTTCTCACTTTTTAGGATCGCAGATTTATATCATAATGATGAGATTCTGAGGTGTGTGAAGTTTCAGATGAGGACTCTATTTACCTGCCCCGTTGTCGAGATCATCACCGGGAGCCGTCCAAGCCAACGTCACCGTCTTCTTCTGAAACGAGGAGTCAGTGGCTCTGAGGTCCAAGACGTCCCCTGGTGGGAACAGGTCGTCCCCGGGTGAGAAGCCTGGAGGTACTTCGTCTACTCGGCTGGACCCACCCGAGATACCGCGGCTGAATGCCGGGGCTGACCTGCCTCTTGGCTCCGCTGGAGGGGTACCAGGGGGCGGAATCTTGATACCACCTGCGATGACAGATAAATGGGAAATGGCAAGATGAATGAATAAACTTGTAATTGATGGAATGAATGACAGACGCAGAACCCGACTTGCTAGCGTTTACAACTGATCCAACTACCAAACGTCGTTAAGAGGAGAGGTGTTCGCAGCAAAATGCCAACATTTGAAAGTGGAAGTAACATGTTGTGTGTGTGAAATAGCTCCTTCAGTAGTTAATCACGCTTAAGTGACGTATCAAAGCATCTTCCTCCTGAATAAAACAAAGTTGGGGGCTACAACTTTGGGCAGCAAATTAAAACGACAGCCTTTCGAAATGAATCTTTTCCAACGGAAACACAAAAACTAAGAAAAAGTTACCCTTAGGCTCAGGATCCTCTCCCATGCCACTTTACGCTGTGCAAACCGGCCCACGAACTTACACAATCCCACTGATGGTCTTGCGGGATGGATTAGCGTCCATGAATTAGCTCGGGTTTAATGATCGTCCCAACGTCTTCCTTGCTTGACACTGCTCACACGGCTATTCCCAGTTCAGTGTTGTACCGTGAGCCAAGACAACGCACCCTCTATAATGTATCACCGGCACGCTCTACTAGCAGAGGGTACGAGGATAGTATTTCTGGTGCTTTTTAGATGGAGGCTGCCATGTATAGGCTTTTGAAAAGCATGGGGGAAAGGAGTTGCAACTAACCTGCGGCGCTCTCTCATTTGCGATAGACAGTTCTTGCAATGTGGTAATACTCGCAGGAACTTACCGATCTCCGGCAGATCATAAACCTTGTCCGGGCTCACAATCGGTCGGGCCTTTGAGAAGGGATTGGACTCGATAATAATGGCGTCTCCGCCGTTATTGTCCACGTTGATGCGAATACCATAATAGCCGATACCGGTGAACTCCGTGAAATACCTGGAGTATACACCGTCATTCTTTGTGATGTCCGCACCTTGTGAGAAAAAAAACGCGACTCAGAAGTCCAAATAACCTCATTGAAGTGGGAACGCCTATTAGTGACTGTTCGAGACGGCGAGCGCCCTCAAACGCAACGCCTGTATACGATATGCGTAAATATTTGAATTTGAGAGCCGAAAGTACCTCGGATGTGAGGGATGTGTCCAGGCTAAGCCAAATCTCCCTAACTGCTTTTATCAAAGGTACAACATCTGCTAGGATCTTCATGTTAAGTAGAAGAATCAATGATACCTGCACCATTGTCAAGTAGCTGAACGGTAACCGGATCATATCCTCCCGGTCTTTCGATAGTTGCCGTCACGTTGGCGTAAATCATGGGGCTGAAGCCCTGACGGACCTCTGCGTAGGCCACCAGCGGCTCGCCCTTTTCAAAAGCCGTGATGGAGCCGCTCAACTCTGACGTCACGACAATGGGCTCCACGTTGTCACTTGCCGGGTATGACGACACAGCAATGGCGACATCCTGTTTTCCATTCCGTCTGTTGCGCACTGTGAATATCCACGCACCCTCCTGGAGGTGAAAGAAGTTTCGATACGAAAACTTCATATTATCGCACAGCGAAGAAATCTTTAGAAACAGGAATTTCAGACAATTCAGAAAATACTACAGGCTATCGCTATAACTCACTCCCTTGAAGTACCCGAGTGGTTCCAAACAGTTCACAGTTCTCCAACGAGTTGCCTCCGTTGTGAAATTTGTAGAACTTTGTTTAACGATGGTGAGCCTCCAAAAATCACTCACTTTCTGATTAATGTTATTAAGTAATGATCGGGAAATTGCCGTCTGCTGCTCGTTTACAATCAATTTTAATTAGTTTTAACTTTTAACACCCGCCAAAGTATAACAGTATTTGCCGGTATGTCAGTGACCTATCAGAGGTCAAGGGTCAAGTTACTTTGATATACCCACTTCTGCATGTCCTTGGATTCTCACAATGATTGTTTTGAAGGATGCATCCTCACCGAAGCCATCGTAAGAAGAGTCTAGGATTTCCCCGTTCGGCCTCATAATGGTCACCTCAATAGCTGAAAGGAAATGGGTGTGAAATAGGAATCTTCCTAGTGTAAATGAAGGTCTGTGCTCCAAGCAACCCCTGATGTACATGCCTCATAATGGTCACCTCAATAGCTGAAAGGAGATGGGTGTGAAATAGGAATCTTCCTAGTGTAAATGAAGGTCTGTGCTCCAAGCAACCCCTGATGTACATGCATGCAAATGTACACCCACGCATGCGTTGTAACCAGTTGGGAACTTTGGAGAGAAATTGGACCAAGGCTCTTGACTGGTAAAGATGTACAAACCAAAAGCGCCAACAAAAGTGTACACACGCACCTACAACTGCACGGAAAGAATTCTTTTGCGCATAAAAAAAAACTAACAGAGCAATCGTTTCAGAAAATAAATCTTAGTCTTGGCCCTTCCCCCCAATTAACCTGAATACCCCACTCTTGAGGGAAGAACTCACCTGGATTATCCACCTTGCTCCAAGAAAAGGTGAACGCTGTTCCGTTGCCAAGGGTGCTGTCCATAAAAACACCACCCCTTCGCTCTTCGTTTTTCTTGAGAGACCACGAGGTACCCAACAGCTTGAACAAAAAACAGAGTCATCATCGTTACTTCCTTGCGACTGAGACATCGGCGATAATGTGGTAGGAAGTTGTAAAATAATCATGAAGCAAGTTTGAGGGCGCTGTGAAAATTTAACACAATCTAGAAACATTAATGTTTTTTTAATTTAAATATCAGAATGAGTGTCTTGTCAAGCAGCCATTGGCATTTCACATTATTCGACCATTATGGTACATCGTCGAACGCAGTCTCACCAATGATACAATGCGTGACATTGTATGTGCATTTGAGATGAAACAAAAACAAAAAGACTGTTTCGTTTCTGTGCACGAGGTACCTGTACACGTTTGTCAGTATCTCTAACATCTCCTCTTTCCATGATTGCTGCAAATGCCTCATACAGGGTGTTGGAACCAGGCTCATTCGAGTAGAAGAATGTTTTACCACCTAAAAATGTAGAGCAAACAGTTATTCCTCACTTAATGACATGTTATCCAAACTGTCCTTGTTCTCCAATTGGGGTCAACGAAAAATTGGTTAAAATAAGTAGCCCCTGAGATACCTACCAGTTGCCTTGGAGATACTTGGTAGCAAAGCTGAGGCCTCCTGGGCAAAGGCTAACGTGTCGACTATTACACCGGAGGCTACAACCTCATCCATGACGTCAGCAACATAAGGTAAATTGTAAGGGTTTTCTCCATTATTGCCGTGTTTTTCCTCCCCGTCACTGACTAGCATAATGATGCCTCCCTTTGGGCTTTCTTCATTGGCTGACAAAACCTGAGACGCGTAGAAAAGAAAAAACAAACTGTCTTGTGGCGGGCAAATAGTCTAGTGCCCAGAATCAGAGGTGGTGATATGGGTTGTATAAGCTGAAACTAATGGGCAGATTTAATGCCACTGCTAAATACCCAACCATATTTCCATAAGGTAAATAATATATGAGGGCTTGTCATCTTCCATGAATTCGCTGGGAAGATTGTTATTCTTCCGTTTGCCAATGATACCATTGACTTTCTCTCCAGATACTGTTAAAATTACTTCTTGTGCGATTGAATGTTATGCACATCCACTTTTGAAATTTCTATGTACCATGTTTTCTTAACTATCCAAGCATTTTCCGAAAAAGTGTGGAATAAATGTCCCTTTTTGAACTGAGTTGAATTGGGTTGGTAACAACTTGCACAGGCCATGCACCTGCAGGTAAGTATTACACATGAACACTAAGGTGTTGTCACCTCATGCCTTTGCACAGGTCTTGCACATGCAGGTACGTATTACATATGAAAACTAGGGCGTTGTCACCTCTTAACTCAACATTGCTTCTCATAACTTTTGCATTAATCCGTAAAGCAAAGTGCTGAGGAAAACGTTCATTTTGCGTAGAGGCTTTGGCTGTGTTCTTCATGCAAGACCGGATCCCTTAAGGATTAAGCCAGGGAAAATGCGGCGCTACCATTACCAGCTGGAAAAAGGATTTCGAAGAATTATAAAACAAATCAACGTGGCTCAGCGGGCAGATGTTTATCTCTGGTTTGAGCGCAATGAGAAGGAATGTTTCTTTCATCCTGTGAATGGTTTTGCCAGTCAAATTCAGGTTACTCGAGCTAATGCCAGTATCCGCTTACACTTCACGGAGCAGAGACAGACAAGTTTGGGTAAAGTTACTTTCCCAAGGACAAAACATAATAGCTAGCAGCTTGATCCCGGCCTTGACTCTCTCATTACGTGCTGCAAACGCTGATTACTTGTTGCAGTTCGTCAATGTGAGTTACTTTGTTAATACAAAGAAATCCGAAGCATGAGACAAAACTCGTGAAGACGCAGAGTGGATTTAGAGTATGTGGAGGAAAAGTGGAAAAATTTAAGTTTTCCAGTTTTAGGACTTAACAAATGTTGAAAACTGGAATGGGATCCAAAGAGTTTGCCTCACAGCCCACCTCAATGGCTTTTAGAAGCCCGTCTCCTATGGCTGTCCATCCATCAGCTTCTGATGGTAAAGCATCCAGGAGCGTCAAGCGATCTGCAGCTCCATTGACGGCCACTAGGTTTTTCAGGATCTTCCCAAATGTGTTGAACTCCACGATACCAACCCGGCTACCATCAAGCACGATGGACGACAGAAAGTTGTAAGATGAACTGATCATCTTCACAAACTTTTCGTTATCCTAAGGGAAAATGAAGTAGTCTGATGTAAGACTCTCTATGCACGAGCCGAAGACATGTAAATGCACAGACAGCCCTCGCGGACTTCACGATTAAGACGTAACTCAGTCCTGCATCGCACTGTACATTACCCAAAATGAACATGCTCCAAGAAACCTTCTCAGTGAAAGTGGGCACTCATGGTTATTCAAAATCCCCATCAAAAATCCACCAATGTATTGCTTTACTTTAACAAAAACTAGAACCATGGTACTGCATAGAAAGCTGGGCTTAGCCCAATGCCTTCCGGCATTGGTGACATCTTACATTCATGCTGCCTGACGTGTCCAACAGAAGCACGACTCGTATTTCCCTGTGTTGAACCAACCTAAAGGTTGGTATCAGATCCTTGTCGCTGATTTCTCGTGGAGGATTCTTTCCCCCTTTTAAGAAATGAAAAAATATATATTTTCTCTCCTGAGCAATTACATGTCAAGACCTCGCAAGTTCCACCATAAATGCTGCATCTAACATCAGGCCTAACAAGCTTTATACGACGTGTAGATAGACGACTATACTTTACATAATTTCAAACGCTACCAAAGCTCTGAAAACGTGTTGGTTGTGGAGCGCTATGGCAATATTATGCCTGGGCACTGTTACCTATCTACCTGTGCATTTTATGTGCATATTTCAAGGATGACACGTGTATTGGACACTCCAACGTTGACCGTTCTCTTACTCTGCAAGCAAACGACATACCGAGGTTGTGCTTTGACGGGACAGAACACAGGCCGTATGTCATTGAAGTGGCTGCGACCTGGAGTGGAGGGGCCTTCAATGCGCCTTATTTTCAGCCACAGAATCAACCATCGGACGCACCCCTACCTTCGAAATCTTCGTGACCTCGCATGACCTCCCAGTTGCTCTTCCGGAAGCACAGCCGGTTGTGTTTGTTGGGTGCCTCTTGGTTGTGCAACATGTTTGACTGTTCTGTGTCATCGCAGAAATTGGTGATCTGTTAGATGAAGGAGATTGGAAGGACAAGTTGTGTCCAAATTGGCTTATTTTATCCAAATCTCCTAAACATCCTTCATGCAGTTGATAGAATTCCACGACTTTTCCCCATGGAGGATACCAATCACAAACAAATATCAAAAGTTTGGTACGTAATAGCATTTTTTCAATCACACAGTGGCAGATTTAGGTTTTTAGGTTTGTCATCATGACGAACCAAAACCTCAGAGATATCTTTCTTCAGTTGTCTGTGCTTGCACTTGTTTTCATGTGGGACAACTTTGGTAGGACTTCTGTTAAAGTCATGTTACTGAAATGTAAATTGATCTTACGGAGGCATAAACATTAATATGAGAATAACGCTTCTGTTTCTCCAAAAAGGTGAACCTCACCGGTTCAAGTGGGTACGTGCCGAACATGATGGAAGCTGTGACGTCACTCTGGTCCTGTAATATGAAGAACACGCAGTTATCCTCGTAACCAACAAACGGATCACCGGCACAGTCACGATAGGAAAAGCTTTCCGGAAGAAAGATCAGCGGCCGGCCATTGTAGTTGTATGAACACCTGGGCGACAGACGGAAAGAGAGAATGAAAAGTACTTCAAACATAAATTACACAATGACACATTTAGGAAACGAAATACACAGTTATTGGAATGTCTCTATGGATTTTGTCTACGGATAATGATACCAGAAGATCTAAGAGTATTTGCCAACTTTCACACCGTTGAAAATTCTACGATGTGGTAATTAAGAGTAAACATTAATCAACAAACAAAATCGACACTTTACCCCTCCATATTATGACGTCATGTTACGCAACGTGGAGAAAGTATTGAAACTGTTTACACCTTTTCAAGTGAAAGAGCTGTCATGCAAAATGGCTTTTACAGGGACATACCTCACTCCTTCGAATCTTTGAGTGAGGGGAGAGTAGTAGAACTCCTGGTAATAATCGGGATCTCCCACGGGATCTGGATACTCGTCAAATAACCCCCAACGAAGATGCGCCCACTCGTGGACAAGCATACGCCCTGATCATGAACAGAAAGGGTCATTATTGGTAATTTTCAACCTCGTTACGAAAGGTGTCCGTTAACTTGTATTAAAGTAGGAGTTAGGCTGGGTACGAATGTTCAGCCTGCGGCTTATTATACATGTAAGCTGCGTGATCTCTGCATAGCGGCTGCAGCCATTTCCCGAAGTCGCAACCTATGGTTTCAGGCACAGCTTTTAAGTCACTAACCGAGTGGTCCGTAGTAAAGCTCCGTGTCCTGATTGGTCAGGAAGGCGTCCAGGAAGTGGATGTGAACACCCTGTTTGCCGCAACCCTCGTACTGCTTGGTGTACTGCAGCGGGGCCCAGCGAGGATTGGGCGGCGCTACGATGACGTCGGCATTGTCGAAGGTGACCCCACCCGGAAGGTCATACTCCGGTTTCCTGGCCCATGTCTTCGGTATGAGGATTGTGACGTTTCTGAAGTAGGCCCGTTTCTTTGTAGCTGTGTACAGGTACTTTGAAGCCTCCTTGAACATGTACTGATTGGAAAAAAAACATCGGGCCCAAAACCCTTTGACAATGACCTACACCCTTTACGAGCCTCGGTATCACCCCATAAACCTGCAAAGGGCTGCAAGAGATGATTCCTCTCGTAAAATTTCAAACTAGTCTGGTAAAAAGTTGATGAAAATCACACACGTCTGTAGGCCCTATGCGTGTTGTATTTGTAAGAAGCGAATTTTTCAAATTTAGCTGTATTAGTCTCGCACTGATGTTAAATTCACTACTTTTATGGCCAGAGGGCGAGTTGATAACACAGTTAACGGTTAAAAAATACATGTTTACTGCAGGCGGTTATTATGTCTCTCAGCCATTTGAGAAGGGGCGGAGAGCTTACTTTTGGTAAATATTGAAGTGTCAAGCGATGAATACAATTCACCGAAATTAAATAGCTCCATTTTTGTTTACAGTGATAAACCTGAAAAGGGTTGCTTCGGATGAGGGCTATTTAATGCTTACCTGAATTCTGTCAATCAACACCTGATCTTCGTCTACTCTGTTGTGAATTGCCACGGTGATGCCCGAGTAGCCATTGTCGATGAACTTGATGAATGAAGGTCGTGTCAAGGAGTCTGCGCCGTGGACGGCAGACAATATGATCAGCGACATCAACGTGGTCCACTTGATTGCGGTTGTCATAGTGCTAAAAACAGCACGACCAACAGCAGAGCCACTGCATTAATGACATAACAATGCTCTAGGCTAGGTGAAGTCCTGTTCAGTATGTTAAGAACGGAATTCAAAATTAGTGGCACGCTATCCTGTTCAGTGTCGCAAAATTTGAAGTGATCGTTTATGTCATAAGACATGCGGATATCAAGTGAGAAATGGTCGAAATAATTCCCAAGTACTGTCGCTTTCTATGATCACTGACGTGAGTTTGAGAACTCTTGATGAAGAATGCTCGTAGCATTAAAAAAGAAAGAAAGGCAGCTCGAAAACAAAACTAGAAACTCAGGAACTCTACTTGATCAGACTTCATCGCCCAGAACTGATCCAGGACATTTGAGTCGACGAAGAACAATCAAAAACTCGTTTCCACCAAATTCATGTCGAAGTTCTATTGTCGACATAGCAGTTAAACACACAAACGTGAGAGATTAAAGACATGTTTTCAAAGTTTGAAACAGCAAACTGCATTCGAATCTTAAATTAACAAGTTCTTGAGTCAAACCGAATCACAAGATAACTTCAGTTTGTGGGATACCCTGATGTAAACTTCTGTGCACAGCTATGCCTGAGGAGGATCCTAACTTCTACTATACTATCTGGACGAAATCATACAGATTAAGTTCCTCCATGAATGATTCAATCAAGAATACATCATAAGAGGACGCCAAAGACCGATTTTTACAACTCATTCAGCGGTAAAAGAAGTGCAATACGAAAGACTGGTGTCCTTCTAAATTGATAGTTCATCACATCTAATTCTTCCTTTAAAAAATCAAGTCTCAAGATGTCTGCCAAGCAGCTGTTTTTGAATTGGTGATCATAAATTTCAATTCAGTAAGATTCATTACAATGGTCGTGTGATGATTATCTTTTGAAATGCAGCCAAGTGAACATACTTCTTTTTACAAATGTCTTAGTCTGGCACTGTATAAATCATTTACGTTTAACAAAACGTTACTGAATGTTACATATTTTAGCCTCCAGATGACTTCCACTGTACTTATTGGGCAAACTATCTTGCAAGTACTTCACATGACGAACTGTAATCACCTAGGCCCGATTCACATAATGGCTTGTACATCATTCTCGCTATTCAAGTCTTCTTCTTTTTTTCCTGCCGAATGAAAACAGCCTCAAAATATAACTGAAAAAATGGTCGTTTTGACTTATTCGAGGGAAGAATTTTCTCCTAGCGATTAACTTATTCATTCCTTAAATGAGAATTTCACGACGTCACAAACCTAACCTAATACAGGCAACTTTTCATAACAATGGCCAAGAACATGAACAAGGATATTAAATGGAGGATCATTGACTTAGGAATGCGTTTAATATCAAATTAAATCATATCTTACCTGTAAAACCCCACCTTGACTAGTGGACAGATAGGTATTCGTTGCTGCTGTAGCAGTGACAAACTACTTGCAGATTGGTACTTGGTATTCATATTTAATACGACCAAAGTAAACAAACTGTCACCGCACCATTGCACTTGACATTTGTACCCATAAGCAAACAATTCTTTCCTTGGCAGTTTTGGCTTGGAATCATGCACCAAGAAAATTCTTCCCACTAGAAAGCTAAATAAGAGTGGTGAATCTTTACATTTAACACCAAAGTTGATGGTGTACTGGCACTTGTCGAAGCAGGAGCTTGTTACCAGAATAGCTTCGCTTTGCAACCTCAACAACATCCTCGAACTGTATGCAGGTTTTCTGTATAATAACCCCTCTGTCTGCCAAGAGCATAATCATTGTGGGTCTGGATCGCCAGGAAAGAAAAATAGCATTGTTTGTAACGTCGAAGTTGAACTGTTAGTAACAACCTGCTGATAACTTGGGGGCCACAAAATGGGATTCAACCGGAAAAGTTGAAGTGTGAAGAACGTAGAACATTAATCCCTATTTTCAGCTTTGCAGTTTCATAATTTGTGAGCACTGTGAAATTAACAATTGAAATAATTAATGATGTCATTGTCTTCTAAAAGAGAAATGTCCCTCTAAATGGTTGTCTGGGTTTTAACTCCTGCAACTGCGGGTCTTAACACATGTTTGCTTTCGTCTAATGAGCTTGAAATGCTTTTGGAGTTTTATTCATCATGATTAATATGATACACGTTGAAAAGGTATATTTGAAGGCAATCTTGTCAACAAAATAAATTAATGCCCAATAGATAAGAACACAACCTTTAGAATGTGTAGACAATTCAATGGGAAATAATTTACGGTCAGAAATTCCACTCTGGTTCAAAAGTAAGGAAACAACTTGCAAACGTAATGAATTCCTACACCAGGTGCGTGCCCTTCGAGTTGCGCCCCCCTCAAAGAAGCAAGCAAAGTCCCATTGTTCTATTCAGTTCAACCCTGGCCAAGAATTTTACCTTTTATATTGGACACTAACGAGTGGACAGGGCTGGGCGTCCCATCACACACAATTATAACCGAGAAACCGCACACGGCCCTTGTTCACTTCTTCGTTGTAGCCACAACAGTCCACTCACTTGTACAGTACTTGTGATGCGATCAGGTTCTTGGAGTTTGCCCAGTTTAACTTATGTTTGTACAGAAGCTAGTTAAGCAGTGTTTTCTCAATAATGGGACAAGGACCTGTGTGTATGTAAATGAAAACCAATTGAAGAGGAGATCTTCTAGGAACCAGGCCTTCTGCCTTGAAGGATATTTGTTCCATATCGACCGTATCCGATCCGCTGCGAATTTCCTTTCAGGTAATTATTATACATGTATTTCCCAACTTAAGGCTAAACAAACAGCGTATGCTTACAGCAGCCCTTACATTGTCCAACTTCACTATGGACACCTTGAATAGGCCTAGACCTTTAACATTATGACATTTCCATGTATGAAATAGTGTGGGTACTAAACTATTAACCGAAAAGTGCTTCTGAACTTTAATATCGAGATTGCATCAGCTGTCAGTCACTCAAATTTCTAGTAGTGATGTGGTTTATTATTGATAGGCACTTTGTTCTTTACTTTCAAGTCATTTAAAGTCAAGATAACAACCAAAGTCAAGATTAAAGAGTCCAAGCGTCGTTTGTTTAAGACATGATAAAAAATGTAATCTGTTTTTTTTTTTGGCTGGGCTACTTTGCTTCATGCAAGCACAGGTCTTTTCAGCGGACAACGGAAATAAGGACAGCGTGAGATATTCTTCAATTTCTCTATTATATCTGAAGCTCTGTACCAGGCCAAACATTTAAAGACCTGTTGTTTTAAACAGCTTCTGGTAAAATGTTTACGCAGTTGCTTTGATTTTACTTGCTGCAGAAGCCAAAGACAGAACAAAACTTACATATACAATAAAATGAATTAAAAACTTATTAATAAACGACGATTTTTAAAAATTGTAAGTGAAAGCAACACTACATGTAACTCTGCTCTAATTAAATCGTGCTGTCAATCTACAAAATAATATTGAACAGTGAGACCAACACAGCAGCTGTTAAAGTTCCTGACGGGATTGTATTTCTTTTTTTCGGTTACAAACTTCCAAAATTGATGGCTTATCGTGTAAATGGATCCACGTAAGCTTTATATTTTGGAATCTTTAGAATATCTGTGAAATGGTCTATTATGATAATACACCAAATTTTAGTTACGGGCCATTCCTCTCAACTTGCATGCTATTCTTATGAAGAACACATCAGCAGTTTCTTAAAATTTTTCTAAGCAACGTTCTTTAAAAAACCTTATCATACGTGGAACACGTCAGGATGACCACCACAGCCTTGTTAGATTTCAAAACAACGTTGTCTACATACAAAGAACATGTTGCTATTTGAAAAACATTTTCTCCACTCCAAATTGCTTCTGGAATCAATTACATGCTTTAAAGCCTTACTCCGATCAATTAGTCTGACGAAATCAGTCATCTAAATGAAAATGAAGTAATAGTGAAAGAGGCTGAAGTTCATACGCAGATGCAAAATATCCAGTTATGCAATGACACGGTATAATTGAAACTGTAATGTTGAAGATACTCTCGAATATGGTTGGTATGCTGTTATTCAGATATTTCTATGTGCAGCGCTGGTCTAAACTTCAGTCCTTTACAATAAATAAAACACACTTATCTTTAAAGAATTTCAGCTGTCAGGAAAGAGATTGAAGAGGAAATGTTTTAAGTTAGAAGCCTTTAAAATCTATTATGATTTCAATATCTACTTTTATGGTATGAACAAATTACACCACTACTTATTAAAGCCTTAACCACACTGAACCTAACAGTATCACTCTAAAACCCAAGAACGTTTGACGCGTTTATAAACTAAACACCGAAGATTTCCAGTTTGAGGTGCACATTACAGAGTGGTTCCAGAAATCGAGCAAGAGGCGTGACCTGTTTTAGTTAATTTCCGTCTCGTTGCCGGTGGTTGGCCCCTTTGGATAAGAAAGATAGTTTATGAATGAAACAACAACACGAAATATAATTACCAATTAAACAATGGCAAATCAGTTTAACGTCCAAAGGCCGATTAAATCACCTCACCAACCGGGGACAGCTCTGGTCTTTAGCTGCTCAGTTTCCGCTTGCAGTCTCGTCAACGCTTGTTTCAAGACGAAGTTTTCCTTCTGCACACCCTTGACCTCTTCGTGGAGATGGTGTACTCTTTGTGTCAGCTCTTCCTTATTGGCCTCCAGTTCGGAGACGCTGTCCTTCAAACCGACGTTCTCATTTTGGAGACTCCGAAATACTTCTTCCAGCTTGGCGTGTTTCTGGTCCTTTCTTCGCACTTCTGCTTTGTGGTTGCCTATGATCTCCTCTATCCTGAATTGCAGAGCTACCACTTCATCTCTCATTTCAGAACATTCTCTCTCTAAGCCTTCATTGTCGTTCTTTGCCTGACCGATACCATCTTGAAGGTGCTTGTTTTCTTCTTGAAGTTCACGAATGGTTTGGTTAAGTTCCGCTTCCTGTTTGATCTTGGCCGTCATCTCCGCCGCGTGGTTGGCGTTAAGCTTCTCAATCTCGGTCTTGTGGGCTACTATTGTATACGTTAATGTGGAAGGTGTCAGCTTGAGAGCACTGATATCTTCATTAAATTCAACAACTTTACGCTCCAGATTGGCTTTCTCTTGATTCAAAGTGTGCACTTTATCTGTTAGACATTTGTTCTCATCTTGGATGTTGAGAATGGTGTCCCTTAGGCCTTCTTCTTTCCTATCCCTGGCGCAAAGCTCATCTCGGTGGTTTGCCTCGACTCGTTCCATTTCGACTTGGAGTCCAGTTACGGTGTCGTTCAGCTTGTGGATGGAGTCGTTCAGGTCAGCTTCTAGCTTGTTCCTCCTCTTATGTTCAGCTGTATGGTTGCTGATGAGGTCTGCAATCTCGGCTCGGAGCTGAGCTATCGTCGTCCTCATCTTCTCGGCATCCTGGTCCCTCTCGGATATTTCAATCTTCTGCTTCTGCTGCAGTGTGTCGGTCTCGTCGTGGAGGTTGACCGCCACGTTGGTCAAGTGGCTTGACTGGTCTAGGAGGTCTTCTGCCCGGACATCTAGAGGTTGCAGGTCTTCCAGCTTTTGGTGTACTGTTGAGGTCTTCCCTGAGGTTATATTTAGCACATTATCCAGGTTTTTAAGTCGCTCTTGGACACCAAATCTGGAGAAACCAGAAAACTATGAACTAATAAAGGAGGTAGGCCTATGTCCGTATGTATAAACTTTCCATGGTCATTATGAGTAAAACTGGGAATAAATTATAAACTTTGACATGAGAGGACAAGAAGTCAAAAGGAGGTAATAATGTCCTCGGTTATAGAAATGAAAAAGGATTATGATTGCGAATGGCATTGACATAAGAGCTACGAGAATATTGTGTGCTACTATCGGCATCCTCTCTTCTTTCTTGCCACTTCACTTATAGAGAGTGTTCAAAGATATTCAGGCGTGGTGCACGCAGATTTTCGCAAGCAAAAATTTAACACATTTCTATTGTATAAAACTGGGCAGGCTGAACCTATCAATGACTGTGTTTCATTAAGCACATACTTGAATGCGAGGATGTCATTTCTGAGCGTCTGGAGGTCCCGTGGACGAGCATTCTCGTTGTTCAGCGATTCCGTGGACAAGTTGGCCTGGATGTACCGTTGACTGACGAGGTGTAGAACCCGCTGCATCGGGCAAGGAATAACACGGGAGTCCGCATTCAGAAGTTAGCCGTTACTCAAGGTGGAAAATAAATTGTTGATTGATTTCTATCAGTGTTTGATTTCTGTCCGGCTGTCTGTTTTAAGTGGAGATTGCGTACGAGCTTTTTAACCGAAAAACGTTTTGGTAACTCTTACCCTCGTCTTTCAGGAAGTGCGTACGAGATATTAAACCCATCGTGGCAAATGCAAAGTCATAATTTTTCTCATTCTGCATTTTAAAGAAAGGCTCACCTCATAGTCATCAAGCTCTTTCTTGAAGTGGATATCCTTCTGAAAGTAAGCAGACGTTTCCATTTTATGATATGATGTGAACATGAATCCGTATCAGTTAAATTAGTTCTGATACAACTTAAAATCCCTGGATCGTTTCAAAGAACTGGATTTGTATATCTTTGGGTTTTTTCATAGAGCAATAAAATACGCTTGTTTCTTCAGTTCTGGCGTCTTTCCTATCAAATATGACTCGTCCGGTAGAATAGGGGCGATGGATGAGAGTTGGACTTCATCATAATCTATGCCTTATGTGTCAGATTTCCCTCTCCAAATAAAACTGCCATTTACACTGTCTTTTTCTCGTATTTCAATTATTAATGTTGCTAGGTGGTTTGGGCATGTAAAAATAGGGAACATTTAATATCTGTTGTCGGTCTAACTTCTGACCCTAAAGTAATCCTCAGTGCTACTCCCATTACCTTTTTTTCTTTGTCTCTTTGTCAGCAAAGAACTGACCAAATATATTTTCTATTTTCTCCGAATACCACGCAGACATAGGCTACACATACCCGGCTAACAACTTCACGATTTAACCCAACAATACAGAGGTAGATACCACACACAGTCTTGAGTGATGGGATGAGGTTGAAGGGTGGCGGTAGGGTCGCTACGGGACGCAGGTAGGAGGCCCAGACAGCGGCACGGTGAAACTTCCACTCCGTATCGGCATTTTCCTACAATGAAAGCGGAAGACAAACGAAGGCACATTACACAGTAAAAACAGTAGCAGCATGAGGTGTTTACCTTTTGGTAAGACATCTTCACGTCACTGTGCAGCAGGACGTCTTAGAGTAATATTATTTGTGAACATAGTCAGCGTTGTAGTCGAGTACTTTTCTGCTATCAAAGTTCCTCTCAAATATTTAATGGGGGAACATTCTACTCTGACAGTACTCGAAATCAACAGGGATCAAGATTGCGTCGTCTTGCTTCGTTTGCAGTCAGCTTCAGTTTAGTTTTTCGCAAACATCGACATCGAGCTCAGGTTTCATTTCCATGGGATGTGATCTTGCGGCTTAACGTAACTTTATTTTGATGATACATAAACATCGGTGTACCGATGAGCACTAACATGTTTTTGAAGTGGGCTATTTTAATTTGATTCCTGAAGAAAACTTCTCAAAATTCTTTTGGAGGCGGAAACGACTTGGCAAACCTGAAGCCTGAGACGACGCTGCCATTTTGAACTTGACGTATAGTCTCGTAGACAGCCATTGACGTGTGGGAGTAGAAAATTCTTCACAAAAAACACTTCACAGAATTTCAAGACGAAAAGAGGATCTTACCTCAGTAAGGTTGTAGGTGTTAGACAACATACCGATGAGGGCGTTCAACAGCACCAACACAGCGACGATCAGATAGCCGGTAAAGAGGAAGGTACCCACGCCCTCAGCGACGGAATGCTTACCAGGGAGCTGGAGTACATCTGTCCCAATGAAGCCGTACAAGGACCAATAGAGATCCTGAACGCTTGCCATAAAGCTAAGGAATGGCAGTCCACACAATTCATCATCACAACATGATAGTGTCTGAGGGGTTCTAGCTGCTGTTTATTCAAGCAAACCTCATCAGACAGATATCATTACAAGTCCCAGATCGAACGGAGAGCTTGAAAACAGACTGAAGTCTTCCCAAATAGCAAAATATTCTCTTTTAGGGATTTTTTTCTTTTTTATATCCATCTTTGTAAGCACATATTCGTTGTCTTTTATTCATGGTGAAAAAGGTGTTTTTATTAAGTCCTTTGTGCAAGCCACAACATTCGGTAAACATTTCCTGAAACATTCAAACTTTCCACTTAGGTTGTATCTTCTACTAAAAGAGAGTAAATACTTACGTTGAAAATCCCACAAGTAATTGGCAACTATCAGAATCCTGTCCTTGCTCAATGCAGGCCCGAGTAGCCGACTGACCAGCTGAGTAGAAGTTTTGGAACAGGCCGATGGCGAAGGCGAACCAAATGACCAGGAAAATGCCGCAGAACTTGACAATGTCACCCCTCATATTGCCAAGAGATATGCGCAGCGGGCCGAGCGAGTCACTCACAAGAAGAATGTTAAGCAGGCGCAGAACCGACACTGTGACAGTCACACCAAACAAAGCCCCAGCGATTATCGTGGGTTCGAACTGACCCTGTCCGATGGTTTCTTCGAGTTCAGGTAGGTGGTTTTCAAACGATGACTCCACACCCATTGCCAGACTGCTACGTATAGTGTCGGTCGGACTGGGGCGGCAGCCAGACAGAGCTTTCACAAGGATCTCATTTACGCCTCCGAGTAAAGAAGTATTCAACCTCCTCTGGAGATTTTCCAAAGCTGAGGACACGTGATACTGCACGTCAGAAATGTCTTGGCTGCCGACTTCATGGCGCACATATCGACGCGACGGATCGTCAGATACCTGGAATCAATAATAAGACTTTCAATTCAGAATTTCTTCAACGTCAATTTATTTCTTATAATGAATGCAGCGCCTCTTCAAAAGCCAGCATTGCACTTTAGCTTCCAACATGCCGGACGCAACGGAGAAAGACGCCCTTGGGGCTCAAAGAAAAAAATTTTCATGCGAACAAAAATCATCAGACCTGAATACCATCTCCAAACCATGCACTCTGTGAAACTGGATTCTTGGCTTAACAGTTGACTGTGCACTACTTTCTCTTCTGAGATTTTGAACGGCTACTTTTGAACCCCTGTCGCTCAAACTGCAAAAATAACACCTGGTTTGGTTGAAGTGATAATGTCACCCTCATTTTTTCAGTCATGTAACCTGTTTATGAGCTGTCTGTTTAGAAAGGTCACTCTCTAGTGCCTCAACGGAAGGCAGGTTGCTCCAGATCCCAGCATACAAGCATATAACAAACTACTAAAGACACCCAATCCGCACAACAGAGCAATCTCCTCTACTGTTAGTTCAATTTGTCAATTTAATCGGGAAGGTACAATTTCAAATCTTACTTGACTGCCACCTGTCCACTGAAGTATGACAACGGTGAAGTATAGCGCCATGATTACGAGCTCATGGAGGTTGACGGTATCAGCTAAATACTGACTGCAACCGTGTTTTGCTATCGTCTTGATGTGTAACCACGCCAAACCTTGTAAAAAGTGAGATGGAAGTCAAGTCTCTTACGTGAAACTACTGCTACACTGTATTACATTTGCAAGTCAGTCACAGGTTGATCTCACGTCAAATTACGGGCACAGCAAAGGCCAGGACACAAACAATAGCGCAAGTACCGAAGTCATAAGTGGATGCAGGATAACTGCCTTTGTCCCATAGTACCTGTGTTCTAATCGGAGACTTGATGATTTGTAATGACACGATAACTCAAACACATTATAGCACTACACAAGCAAACTTAAGAATGGGGTCATATTAGATGACTGTAACGTAAGTTTAACATTGGACATTCCCATATAAGTTTGTCCAGCGAATGTTGGATTTTTCTTGACACAGTGAACATTCCCATAGGATTGTACAGGGAATGTCCAATGTCGACAAAAATGAGACATTCGCTGTACAAACCTATGGGAATGTCTAATGTCCAATATCAAACAAACTTTACTGCCATTCTGATCAGGCGACCTAAATTTAAACTGCCAATCCTTCGTCAGACACTGTCGATCAATGACTCAGATAGATTATCGTAATAAAAAGCACTCTTGCTGTACTCTGTTTTCTGCTCTGGCTTACCTATTACCCATACCAACATGAACCCGTGCAGCAGTTCCACAGTTCGGGGGTAGGCATGCTTATCCATGACAGTGACAGCGACGATAAAAATGAGGAAGGTGAAACCAGACCCTGCTTTCATCATCATCATGACGTAACTGCAGAGCAATGCACATAGAGAGCGCCCTCAGTTTCTTTGAATGGGTATTCCTAGGTTGGCAAGGGGCACTGTTCTGAACTTACGATGAAGCATTATATATGTTGAATAATCTGACGGGTTTTGGAAGCTTGTCAACTGGCAGTGTCTACACTTTCTTTGACATTTTACTGACGCAGCAATAGGCTGGCTGTTCTTATTATGGGCCAGACTACTCAGTGTTTTGGACCTGTCTTGTATGCCATGAATAAAACTCTGAACCGCCCAATGTAATATTTGCATCCTACAAAACCTGAATCTTTCCCTGGTTCCCTGCTCTCATTTGTCTGTTGTATGGTCCGTTGACAGGTCAACTAGATTTGTATTACCAGATTAAGCTTCTTCATACTCACGGAAGTCGGGCAAAATTGACCACTCGGCGAACGGGCACAAAAATGTAGAGCAGGCAAATGATTGGAAAACCCAGGAGAACGAAAAGGATCAGCAGAACCTGATGGAGTATCCCCCGCTCGTTCCAATCCAAGAGATTCCGATAGAATTGCACAATGATGGCCTTCTGTGAATGGGGATGCGCTATGAACTGCAAGAAGAAGAAAGCACAGAGTCTGACACTTGGGAAGGGCATAATGTGGTTGGGCCGTGAATTGAAAGTGAATTTCGTCAAGAGATATTCCCAGTGGAATCGACTGGTGATGTGATGCATCTTGTCGCATCATTTTGGATAGTTTTTGAGACGACTCTTATCGTGAATTCGAGAGAGGATATCAATTTAGTTTATCAGTGAGTTTGAGAGCTAACAAGATAGTAGAGCACTAAGCCGATGAATGGTTTAAAACAACCTACTCATGGTGTTTTTGTTGACAACAGGTTGTGACAAACTCTGGCACCTAAAGCCCGTTTCAAAATTGTGAAAAATGTACAAAGCATGTATTTGTCAGGGTTTTCATAGGGCCATCGTAAAACATTATGACTTGTGAAAGAGTTGTTATGAACTTATGACGGCCTTATGGTGCCGTTAAGATGGATTCGTGGCGATCTTGCAATGGCCTTACGACGGCCTTGTGATACATTTGTGACAGATTTTTGGCCATCTTACGAAAGCCTTATGATGGAATGAACTTGTGAAACCTGACTACAATGCCACACATTTCACAATCTGACCTCTTTCTGCTCGTACTCGATGGCCTCAAACAGCTTAGCAAGGGGATGCTGTTTGCCCTCCAAATCTCGATACTTGTCGGTGTTGTGGTATCGGAACAGCGCCAGGATCTAAATGGACAATACAAGGACTAATAAAACTGAAATTCCACTCATACATTTTGCGCAAGCGTGGACTCCTTTATCAAAGATCTCTCAACCCGTGTTGATTGACCTTCTAAAAGTGTATTATGGGGATTTTATTTGAAAAGTGTTTCGAAATATTTTGCATTTTTTTAACTTGCCACAAAGAAAATCCCTGTGTTATTATGTTGTTTTTTCCGATGACGCCTGCGTGGATTTAAGAATGGCAAGAATGTCTGGTGATCAAGGCCGAGTGCATTCAGGCGTGCAAAGTTGTTCCTTTTTTTTCATTTTCTGGGTACCGTCAGCGTACAGCTGCTAATATGTAGGATGGCTGATGGGGGCTGCCTTCGTTCAGGCATGCAGAGCTTTGCATGTTTTTTAAGTTGTTGTATATATTTCTTGAGGATATTACCTAGGGTTGGTGGAACCAGGAACTACATATAACACATATATTTTCTCTCTTTGCAAGAGAGAAAAGTAGTTCCCAACACTGGGAACCAAACAAGGCGTCTGTGTCCTCTCCAGGAACACCTCATTCTTACACTGTTTGAGGTATACAAGAAACTATACTTTCACATGCATGTAACTGTACTTATGAGTATTACTAGGTTTCATAGGGTGAGACTATGTTAGTTCCTCTTCCAATTGTTCGATTTGGGGTTACGTGGAAAAGTCTTCAGTATCTGAACTGAAGATTTTTCTGAACTCCTCCTGCAAATGCAAAAAGTACATCATTGGTCACCCATTTCCTTCGAAACTCAAAGCCTTATTCTCCAAAATATGCCTCTACCTCCAAATCCGCGGCCACATCAGTGGATTAACTTAGGAGGCAACAAACCTCTTCAGTCGAGCTTGATTCCCCAAGCATCTCCCCGGCGAAGAAGTCGACGCCGCGCGCCATCTGTTCGTACTCGGCCCCGAAGTCCTCCCACGTGCGGCTCAACGTCTTGAGTTTGGCGCTGAGGTGGAAGGCGTGGCCAAAGATGTCCGTCTGGGTGGCCAGGATGTAGGCAGGCTGTGAGAGGGCGCGGTAGATGTGCAGGGTGGATATGGCCTGAGTCAGGGTCACATCGCCGCCCTGAGACATCGAGGGCTCCGTGACTTTGCATCCAAGGTTTACAAGCAACTTGAAGAAATCAGGCATGCATGTATATGAGTTTTAATAAGGATGAGAAGTAAATCTAACACTTTGGAAAGCATGTCAGCGTTCAAAAAGTGATCTTTAAGTAAATCCAGAATGCTGCATCACGTTGAATTCGCAACGGGGTCACCAGACTAGAAGCAAATAAGGCAAAGATTGGACCGCCCGCAAAGCCTGAGCAAAAACTTCCAGACGTACCAATCTACCTCCGAAAAGGTTCCAATTTTGTACGAGACGGGACACAGATGCTCTAAATCTTTATTCCATTGAAATGGAATTATTTCTGTTGACACTTTACTACCGTCACTTCGTGTCTGAAGTCTTGGCATCTACCAATAGAGAGGATTTCACTCATTTTCATCGGGTACCCACATTCATTCGTTTGTTAATGAGACAGTAGAAGTGGAGGGAAAAAAGATCGTGTGAACCTTATACCTTTACAGCACTAAAGTTGTTTCGCTGGGCAGCTAGAATCAGCGGCGTTACAGCAGGGTGGAAATCATCGTTGTCACAAGTACCAGTAAGAATTTCATCTCGGATACCCTAAACACCGCGTAATATTCATGAAAAACATCACTCAACAAATACAACAACACTTGTCTTGCCTTGATTGAATTTAAATACCTGTCTTGCCATTAGACTTTTCTAATCCGAAAAAGATGCATTTCGATCGAGGGCGTGTTTGTTTGGCAAGCGGAGAAACACGACAGTCCACAAGTGTAGTCTCGATTTCAAAACTAAGTATGCATGCCTTGAATGTAGACTTTGTTTAAACTCCCGTCAGTGATGCCAAATAAACAATAATAAAACTTGCCCTTTTCCCCCAAAAATCTGTATTTACAAATAACCTGACCACACACTAGTAACTCCTGTATTCACATTTGATAAAAACCCTTTAAAAGTCCTTTAACTTCAAGGGGGAGTCTTTACTCTCTCGGGGACAAGAGCTTAATCCGAGGGTCAACATTTTCTGTATTTATTGACAAAGTCTATCCTCAAATATACACAAACACGACTCACAAAATGGGTCATACGAGCAAAACACTGCAATAATCTAAAATACATGATTTGAGTGCACCCATTTAAAGTATTCGTGTAAACTCGCTCTTTACACACCACAAATATCACCCCTGGTCAAGGGCATTTGGACCTACAAAGATGGGGATGGTGAATGGTGATGATAAGGAAACAATTAAACCGGAAGAGAGACTGCGGGGGTTGGGGGTCTCCTATCTGTCACTATTATGCGCATTCATACGAACACGGGTTGGCCTTTTCTGACAATTCAACTTTTGATTGTAGGCTAAGTAGAATGTAAGATTTGAGAATTTGTTTCCACCAAAAATAAGGGGGGGTGACCATGTCTCACCTCTGATCATTAAAGGGCAGGAAATAGAGTTACAACGGCAGCTAAGCCACGCGGCCTAGAGTGGGTATCAAACATCAACAAACATTGTGTCCTACCATAGCAGTGTTACCAAAAATGAAGCCCTGTAGTCGCAGTACTGTACTAACCGTCGGCTTTATTTGTGGTAAATGACACTTTGCTATTGGAGGCCATATTTGTTGATTATGGTCATGTGACTTAGCGGTTGCAATCAGTCCATTATTCAGTTTTCCCCCATTGTCCATGTCCTTGGCCCAGATCAAACTGTACCCGCTGGTACAAATGTTACAGAGGGCCTACCCATCACAAACCTTTTTCAGATAATTTTTTAAGGAAGCTAGACGGGATTTTTCTATTGCGCGTGTCATGCACATCCAGATCAAGGAAGCCTCCGGATCGTCGAGCGGTCAAATTCTCAAGTTCAATAACAGCTCGAGGAAGAGGCGTTTTGAAGGAGGTGGAAGTTATGAGCGCCCTCTTGAATGAGGCCATGGGTACGGGCGGAGGTTGCCAGCTAAAAAAAAATAATTGGTCCATATAGGGCTCCAAGAATTAGTTGTTACCGAACGCGCCTTACAAAGGGCTTTGGAAATGAACTAGTTGATCCGTTGAAGAACACAGCATACCACGTAGGGTTGGCACAGGGAAGGAAGCTATGGAGGTGTTGTGTATTTTACCTCATGAGCTTCAAGGTAGCGGCATATGGCCGTGATTGCGTCATCAAAGGCTACATCGATGGCACGGATGAGGGCATCTCCCAGCGGAATGTCGAAACTCAGAAGTACGTTGATTATGTCTGCACACAGGAGAGAAAAAGCATAGTGAAAATCTAAGATGCGACAGTCGCTCGAAAAGAAAGATTTTGTGCTATACTGTGTGCTGGGCTTGTGTAGCTTAAAAATTATACAGACAAAAGAGGAACGTTCTGAAAAAATGCATTGTCTTCCTGAGTTAAGTTCTCACGACTACCTGAGTACTCACAACTACCTGAGTAATCACGTCTACCTGAGTAATCACAACTACTTGAGTAATAACGTCTACCTGAGTAATCACGAATACCTGAGTAATCACGGATACATGAGTAATTACGACTACCTGAGTAATCACGTCTACATGAGTAATCACGAATACCTGAGTAATCACAACTACCCGAGTAATCACGTCTACCCGAGTAATCACGACTACCTGAGTAATCACGAATACCTGAGTAATCACGAATACCTGAGTAATTACGTCTACCTGAGTAATCACGACTACTTGAGTAAACACGTCTACCTGAGTAATCACGAATACCTGAGTAATCACGAATACCTCAGTAATCAAGTCTATCTGAGTAATCATGACTCCCTGAGTAATCACGACTATATGAGTACTCAAGTCTACCTGAGTAATTACGTCTACCTGAGTAATCACGTCTTCCTGAGTAATCACGACTACCTGACTAATCATGACTACCTGAGTAATCACGAATACCTGTGCAAATTACACTGATTGGGTGCTTCCCATTCAAAATGGGCAAAATGTCCACTTTACCAAAGTTCGATAAAACTAACTTTTTGTTCAAATTCATGCATCCACCTGCTCTCGCTGCAAGTAAACAATAGGCAGGTATCTCCGACATTTCACCACAGTTTGAATTTAATCACCAATGCCCCACCCACCCACCCATTATTTCAGTGATGCTGGAAGACGTCAGGAGAGTTTTGGCCCACGGTCCACTCTACCTAATGAATATATCAAACGTCCGCACTCCTGGCCAAGTTTTCTTTAATGCTCATTGAGTTCTACTCAAAATAAACCCATACACTTCATTCCAAACATCAATTAAAATAACGTTACTCTGTTTTCTCACCGAAATTCTTTTTAAAATACGAACAAATAATTCTTTCAAATTTTCAGAGACCATGCATAGGCTGCCTGTTTTCCACACCGTTGCTTTTCATTTTCATGTAGTCTTTCCAACTCTCTCTTCCAGCCTTTGCATTTGCACAAATCATAAATATTTCGTTTGCCGCATCACTTTCAATCATGAAAAGTGCATGACCGGTTTAAAGCATCATTGACGAGCGCCGGAATGCCAATGGAGCCTAGTCACAAGCCATCGTTGTGCAAAGCTTAACCCGGATTGGCCTATTATAACACTCAACAAAAAAGCTCCAGTCTCCTGATATAGTTACAAATCCGTGAACATCCTGACTTTCGAAAGTATGATTTATTGATCAAAATAATCTTCTGAAAAGAATGATTGACAGTACATCGATAAATGTAAAAGGAAAATAACATCCTGAATGTTTGGCACTTCGAAAGCATTTTAGGGAGAGGCAGTTAGGTGGATTCAGTAAAGAGGTTTTCTATCTGTCGGTGCCCTTGGATATGAGTACACAAAAATTCAAATGTTATCGCGAACGTGATCGTTGTTCATGTCGCTATGTTGTAAGGGCTATTTGTAAAGTGGGGGGGGGGTTTCTGAACTCTACCTACTACTGGTATGTAGCATTTATAATTCTGTCTTTTTTCGACAAATGTTTTCCACGTGGGAACGATACCATCCTGTCATGTTGCGATTGGTAACCGCTGTACTGTGAGTTATAAAGCTTTATTCAAGACATGCTGGAAAACGTCTTTCCCTATCCAGCTAAACTCGTGTCCGTAAGAGTTTATCGTATGTCGTAAGTATCGCACGTCTAATGTACGAGTCATATCTTGAACGAATGACTGCAAAATAACCTTGAACGTACGACATAAAAGTTATAGGTCTCTGTGCAAAATAAAACTCGTACGTGTGTCATGCTTCATGCGTCAAACGTATAAAATATGAGTCTTATGTAGATTACATAGGTCGTACGTACAAGTAAGCTCAGAAGAAAATGGTTTACCATAACACGGCTTCGTTACGAGTTAAATCATGTGTGATTCTAGCGCTTTCTAAATGTTAAACTTTATGATTCTTCCGTCAGAGAATTATGCAGTTCACCCAGGATACTTGTACCTTAAGCTAATAAATGACAATTTTTTTAAAACAATGCAGAAAACAAAAAGGTTGGTACAGTTTCAGTATCACTTTCTAAACAGTAAACGTGTTTAGAAACTGAAAAGTTCAAAAGTTGGCATTTCTTCGTTCTTCGCTCTTTCCTTAATTCTTCTACTTACTCAGTTCTGCGCATCGTTCAAAAAATGACCAATTTCCATTTATTGAGGAGTAGTCCATATCACTGTTACATTGAGATGTTTAGTTAGATCTCTCCATCATTTCAACTCACCCAAGTATCCGTCCGTGATGGCGTCAGCATACAATGTCAGGTTCTCCTCGTTTCTCCAGTCTCGAATCCAGTCCATCTCCTGCCATTCAGCCAGTAGCTCCCCGAGCTTCAGCCCGTTCCCCGTCTCAATCACGCCGCGCATTTCCTCGTAGCGAGCGTTCTCTTCCTCGTAGTCGGACTCACTGTCAGGATGGGGAAGGGACATGGATCCAGTCAGCGCAGGTTCCCCGCCAGCGGCGCTTGGCAGACCTGTTTGACCGTTCGCCACCAGAAGAGCTTGCATTTCCGTGAGCTGCTGATCCATCATGAGTTGAGTGAAGGCTCCATATATTTATCTTCGCTTTCGTGGCATCAAGGAAATAGACCATATCAACTCCACTGGGGAGTTTTAAGCCATCACACGCAGCATCGGACTGAAAATTGCGCTCTAAAATATAGCTACAGTCTCAATATATATGTTGTACTGGCAGACCCCAAATCTGTTTGCTTGCACAAGGGTTGCCTTGTTGGACTCATGTAAAAGAACCTGGCTCTATTCCATGCCCTGTTGAAGTTTGCGAACCCCCATAGTCATGTTATTGATGAAAATGCTTTGGGGTATTGGATGGATGATCGTGAATGCGTGTCGAAGCAGGCATGAATGAAGTCACTGTTCACAGTGATTGAGAAACCATGAAAACAGGCTTCTTTCTGTGGTCTCTGCTCCGGTCGGATAGTCGATTTGGCAGCTGAACCGCCAGCCTAAATTCGTCCTGGTTGCCACACTGGCTTTTTCTCAATCCAGACTGGCCAAAAGCGCAGCTAAATACATATAGAGGTCCACTTTTGGCGAAGTACGCAGTCCTTCGAGTTTTGCCTTTAATTCTGATTGAAACATCGACCACAATGGTTTGTTTGCACAATCACATGTAGAAATTTCTTCCTGGTATGAAACATCGACTTTACCAAGCCACCATTGTCCTCTTGATGCTGATCATTAGATCGCAAAACCGCAAAAATAATATTCACAAAACAACGACTGGAAACCTGACCTTACTCCACTTAGGGCAAAGCCCCCCTCCCCTTAGTTTTTTACCATTTTACTGGCTCTTGTTCACGGAGAGTTATACCATATCCATGCATGACGACCGCTCGGTGAACTTGTGGAAATATGTAAATTGAGTTGACCTATGCGACTTCGTACATGAGAACAAGAAGCTTTCCTGAACTACGTAGATGGTGCTGCGGAGTCAATCGTCATGATCGTGCATGATGTGAAACCGTGCAGCACCGCACCTTACGCTGCCACGAAACCTTTTGACCAAATTCATTAACTCCATCGAATTTGCACCCCATGTGTAACTGATACAAAATTTAGCAACTATAAGGACGTTGGTTGCCATGCACGATGACCAGTTGGTTTCTCAATTATCTCATTGGTTTTATCTTCTGGCGCGAATTCCACTGAAGAAGCCAAACACTGAAATTTGCTGAGCACATGAAACATGTGCTTAGCAAACCAGATCCCAAGCCAACATTTTATCTAAATCCCTGGATCCGGTTCTAAGCTGCGACACTGAAAACGGTGTAGAAACTTCCTGAGCCTGCCCTTTCCTGATCAGAGCCTGCCCGCCCTTCCTGAGCCTGCCTCAGGCTCCAACTACTCTGACCTGCGGAATCTCGGTGAAATATAGTGACAACGTCAGGCATTGAAAGGCATAATAAGAACTGTAAAATATACCTTCAACTGAATTTTTTGTTTCACTCGTTCCGATCACACGGCGTCCAATGAGCATGAAATATTACTAAGCGAGACTTGGGTCCTGGTCCTGCGCTGACTGGCTAGCCACATAATGAATCAGTTGAACTGACTGATTTATTTGACGTTCTTCGGTCCAGAAATTTTATTATTCTTATGTAGAGCTGGTATTTTCTGTTCTATGGACCACTGTCCTCTATCCCGACCAATGCTTTTATTTTGCCAGCACCCAATATCCCAATCCAAGGGCATTGCTAATAGTTGACCTTGTGACCTAACACTGGTCTATTTGTGATCTCATGGCTGACTAGTCTCCCTATTATGACTGGAGGGCGTGCGCCCTTCGCTGATTTCCGGACCTCCAAACATGGCTACCGTGCACCGCTGACTTATTATCCCCAATTTTCCAAGCAGTGTAGAGCAATAACCTAATAAACCGTGGGTTGTTCATAAATTATAAGAAAAATATTCTAGTGATTTGAACTTAGAGCACTCCTCTGACGGCCTTCACGCGCACAAGCATAGATCGGGTTATCCCAATGAGACAGTTTGGTATTCCAACTGTGAATGCCCAAAATAAAGTGCGTCCGAGGTCATTCGGATGCGCGTGCGAGGTCGTTCGGACGCGCGTGCGAAATCTGGCCTATCAGCGCGGACTGGCTTCAGCTGGCTCGTGATGCATGGGTTCCAAAGTATTGAGTACCGAAATGTGACGTCATTTAGAACCAGTTGAAGCCGTACAAACCAATGGAATACGCGCGCGTTGGTTCACGCACGGGTACTCGCGCTAACGCTTTTTACACACATAAGTGTGCGTGTGACGTTTTCACTTCGGTACTCTATGCCGTCATCATTGATCTCACTTTTAATGTGGCGTCATTTTGAACTAGGAAGTGAGTAGTGCAAACGAATGGAGTACGCGCGCGTGTTGGTTCACGCGCTGGTTCTCACGCAAATACCCTTTACATATATAATGAGTAAGCTCGGTATTTCAACAATTCCAAAGTCTTTGAGAACAAAGCGCACGCGTGAGTCAGCGTATGGTTGCGCTGATTTGACAGACCACCAAGCACGAGCGTAGCTGTTCCCAAATTGTCTCGGGCTGAGCAAGCTCTGTTGGAATACAGAACTGGCTCATTGTGCGTGTGACGTATTCACTTCGGTACTTTTCAAATCAAGTTTGTAAAACTGAAAAATTGCTGGACCGACACCAAGCTTGCGATCGCAATACATGGCTGTAAATGCCCATGCATTAGATAACTTCTTTGAACATCAAACCCTATTCCGTCTTTGCACGCTGCCGCCATAGGCATGCAGAGCCTCGATCTAGCAGCTTCACACACTGAATATAGCTGGTTCGGTGTTACGCACTTAGTAATTTTGCGTGTGCTGCGTTATTTCTTATACTATGCGATTGGACAATATTTAAACAGCTGCATTGACGCGATTGTACAAGCTGCCAGTTCGAGGCCTTACATGCCTATTGCGGCAGCGTGCAAAGAGCGAGAGGCGGCAGCGAATATCGGGCCCTTAATTAAATGTAAGCCACGTGACAAAATGTTTAAGGATTCAAGTTGTAAGAGCATTTGTGTAAATACATGGTTTTATTTAATTAATCGTTTCCAATTAAAATCATGTTTTACTGATACAAATATGTCGCAAGTGAGAACTGCATAATTTCCTCTACGAATAAATAATGGTAAATATTAAATGATTATGATAAACGAACGTTAAAAGTAACGTATTGCATGCAGTTATTTGGTGTTCGGAGAGCTTTTGCCATAAGAGGTATTTCAAATTAATTTCTGACATGTGAAGTGCCATTTCACCGCCACATGGTCGGTGTAATGGGGATTGGTACTCTGTTAACAAAATGGACTCACGTTAGCCCTAGTGTGCATGAGAGCATGCGCACCTCAGGTTTGCAATCCATGTCCATTTTTCACGGGGATCAAGTATTCCACAAGACACCGTAAAATAATGCGCGACAGGGGACGGACGCTCGTACAAAATGACTTTCGAGTGTTCTGCAAACATGTTCAATGTGTACAAATGTTGTAACCGCTATACAGTGCAAACTACTGATCACGCAGGTAAGTTATTACTTAATCTAATGCCATTGGCATCTAAGTGCAACTTCAGGTATTACAAAATAAATCTAAAAGCATTAAAGAGAGCTACGAAGACAGTTACCGTAGCTTTTTAAAAGACATGTCCTGCGAGCCAAGATCAACAATTGACATAATTAATGGTAACAAAACTGCAGATTCAAAACTTATATTTCTATATTAAGCATCCACGAAGATTTAACATAGAAAAAAGCAACAAACCTTCAACTTTTTCATACTTTAGGATCTTGTTCGCCAAATCTAGAACGTCAAGTCATCAATTTTTTTAAAGGAAAATCAGACAGTGGCTTCACCCAAGACCGTCTAAATCACTACTTCTCTACAGCACGTTTTCGTTGAAGTCGTCTAAAGCCATGCAGTTAACGTGGCCCGCCTCCTCCACGTTTATCACCGGTGTTGGCGCGATTTTTGACGGAGTGGACTTCAACGCCACACACGCTATTACGAGTACCAGAAGAGTCAAAGTACCTAAACCACCAACTGTAATCAAGGCAATATGCCACCACTGGAGCCCCAAAGAGGGTGGAGATGCTGTGACTAGGGGCAGATCCGTGGTCACCGGAACAGAGGTTGGTCGTGTTACCGTGAGCTTGGGAAGATCTGTAGGCTCCGACCCGGAGGGTGGTGGTGTTAAAGTAGTCTCCGGCCGATCTGTGGTCACCGGTAACGGCTCAGGAACGTACTCCCTCAGCACGGCCTGAATAGCGTTGGAGAACCCAGATGGGTTCCCTGCGTCATCCACAGCTCGTAGCACGAACGCGTACGAGGCCACGGTGGCATCCTCCGGTACCGGCGCGAGGACCACAAACTCCTCTTCGTTGCCGAACTCCTGAGGCGCAGAGAGGTTCCCCTGCAGGATGTGGCTGGAGTTGAGGATCAAATGGGAATCCGGAGTGGAGTCGTTCTGCCAGGCCTGGATAGACTCAGCACGGATGACTTCATACCAGGAGGCTGGAATGTAAAACGTTAATGCTTGATCGTTTCTCCCTTTCCCCTACAACTAAGTTGAGAAGCATAAAGGGAGAGAGCATTGGATCTGAAGATTATATTTATATCTTATATATATAATATCTATACCAAGTTCAAATTTGCTCTGTTGCACACACCCAAAGGGACACCGATCATTTTCGCAGCAGGTGATCATCATCTTCATCCATGCAATGTCTGCAGTATACAAAAGCTTGGTCAAGCCAGATGTCAAACATCCTGGTGCAAGGCGTGTAGATGTAACTATGGCATTACAGAGCAGCCAACGCCATCATGATCGCCATCTCGCGCATTTCGTCGAATGTTCTTGCATGTTCGTTTGCCTGAAGCGTGGAGGGCGCACAGCCAATTACCACTGGGATCTATACTGTCTATGTACAGGCACACGATACAAAACTGAAACAGTGCCCCCATCAGCCCCAAATACTCTCTCTCTCTCCCCTTGGCTAATAAGGGAGGGGGTACTATCGCAAAGAGAAGGTATGAGTTTATATTTAGTAGACTTTACTATTCAGATTCAACATACCTGATCCACTATCTAGATCATCACCTGGAGCCGTCCAAGCCAACGTCACGGTCCCGTCTTGAAAGGAAGTGTTTGAGACCCTGAGGTCCAGCACATCGTCAGGTGGGAACAGGTCGTCACCGGGTAAGAATCCTGAAGGTAGATCGTCTACTCGACTGGATCCGCCTGAGATTCCGCGATTGAATGCCGGGGCGGGCTTGCCTGTTGGCTCCGCTGGAGGGGCACCTGGTGCGGGAATCTTTACACCGCCTAGCAAATCACCAAAATAGAATGAGTCAAGGCAGACAACGAAACTCAACAACATGCATGATCTGTCGATTCTCGTTTAGGATTAAAAGACTTCAGGAAGCAAAGTCTTTTTAGAAACAGAAAGGGAAAACAAGTATTCAGCTTTTGTATTTCCAACTGAGTTCCTTGTAAAAAGTACAGCTGGCAAATTTTCTGAATGCAGGACATTTAAGTGTGTCTCTGTATTGAGCGTCTGCCAGACGCGTTTTTAACTTTCAAAAAGTGACGCAGCCACTGGTGCTTATGACAGAACTTGATTTAGTGGAGTAAACAGGAGAGAAGAACTAAAATCTGAGCTCGTGAAAATATGATGTAGCCTTGGCCAACCATCAGTTAGTATTCACTGCTCAAGACCAAAAGAGCTTCCCAAAATGTCGTGGAGCGAGTGTGTTTTCTGTGGTATAGATAGAATTTTCGGTCTACCCATGTCCAAGTAGTTCCAAATTATCTACGCCTTTGTCAAAAGGGCATATCAAAAGGAAACCGGCACGTTCACGAGTTTCACACGCAAAGGAAAATGAAAGGCTCTACCAATATCGGTCATATTAAGGGCTTCCTCTGGGTCCACGATGGGTCGAGATTTCGAGAAGGGAACCGAGTCAATGATGATGGCGTTGCCGTTGTTATTATCTACGTCGATCTTGACACCGTAGTAACCGACTCCTGTGACCTCGGTGAAGTATCGCGAGTACACTCCGTCATTCTTCGTAACGTCCGACCCTAGGGAGAAATACAAAGGTTATATGGGGGCAACTAACTATGCAAGTTGAAGGTCATGTCTTCACAGGACAGCAACGTTTCAACTTAATTGCAAATGTTGTCTCATGTTACGATACCTTAACATACATGTACATGGGTGACACTTTTAGCCAACTGCAGGCACTCCGTGCATGACGTCACTACGCAAAACTCACGCTGCATCGAAAACCCCTTTACAGAACATAGATATATGGCGGACCGACTACAGACAAACACACTGAAAACAACACGTGGGTGCGGCGGCACACGTGCACGTGTGTAGTATGTACTTAGCGCACGGTGGTCTCTTTATTCCGTTTATTTTCGCGACTTTGTGTATCATCAAGACAACACGTAAGAAATTAGTCTCTGAGGAATCGCTGGCACACCTAACACCTACGTAATTACAGTAAGTACGAAGTATTTTGCTTTTATTATTCCACACTTATACCTTACAGGAATAAAATTCATAGAGTACATGTAGTTTTGATGTGTGTACTCAGGTCGGAATCTCGTACGCCGAATAGCTGCGCGCACACACTGTACGAACTGCACTGGAGAACGGCTGAAAACAGTCCACAAAGCCCACAACAATGGCAAGAATTAACGTTACTTCCGACCTCATTTTCCCGTTTTTTGTCTTTGGTGGTGATGTGTCGAATTTCTTATCCCACCAGCTGTGGAGATAAGGATGCATAGGAGTTACAGGCGTGAAACTGGCTCCTTGGAAAGGTTTAAGTGTTGAAAATTTTACTCACAAAAATTTTCGCCCGATTTTGCACCCTTTATATCCTGGACTCCCTCTGTAACGTAGTACGGCCAGGGAGTCCTGGGCAAATTCTAACATTGCGTGTACACTACATTTTCACCATATAGAGGAAGGACACAGAAGGAGGTGCAACTCAGGCACTTCTAAGTGTACAATGATTGTCGCCGGCGCCGCCAAGTCAGACGAATTTATAGAAAACATTCCAAAAATGCCTGATTACTGCCTGCATCTCAGCCGGACAAGCGGGGCCAGTAATATCCTAAGAATACTTGTAGTTGTACTTGTAGCAATTGCTTGCGATTAAATACAAATTATCACTGTGACCACGAAATAGAGAGAGAGAAAATGCCTGATATTAGACCTACTTTAGCTATCGTAAATAAACTTTTTAAATTTGGATACACTGTTCCATTATCCATGCAAAGTTTGTAAATTTATTCTCCTCCGTCCAATACATCAGTGTTCAAAGACTTTGTATGAATTTGGTTAAGACTGGCCAACAAAATGTTCATTACTACTGGAAAGCTTAGTTCATCAGGAACAAAATGCGCCATTTCATCACAGGGATTGAGTGATTGCGAAATCTCATAAAATACGCTTTTGTACAAATGCAATAATAAAAATAATTCAAACAAAACACAAATGTTGCAAACAACCGGGCTATTTATTCCCAAAATAATCCAGAAGAAAGAGCGCTTTAAGGGCAATTTACTGCACAAATAGATTGTGACACAGCGTTCGCTGTGCTCTCATCTGGTATATGGATTAGATGTCACAGCCCGGGCAGGTCAAACTCCTGTGTCATATGAAGCAAAGTAAGGCTTACAGAACAGGGAAAACCCCTATGTTGGTCATTGATATACTGGTATCTCAGTGTCAGAATTCTCCATTAATT